GGATGGAGTGGGAGACATTATCTTAAGTGAGGTAAGCCAGGCACGGAAAGATAAATTTAGCATATTCTCACTCATATGTGGGAACTGAAAAAAAAATTGAACTCATGGAGATACAGAGTAGAATGATGATTTCAGGAGGCTGGAAAGAGTGGGGATAAAGAGGGGATGGTTAATTGGCACAAAAATACAGTTAGCTAGAAGGAATAAGATCTAGTGTCTGGTAGCACAATAGGGCAACTACAGTTAACAATAATTTATAGTTAACAATATATTTCAAAGAATTAAAAGAGTGGAACCGGAATGTTGCAAACACAAAGAAATGATCAATGCTTGAGGTGACAGATAACCCAATTACTTTGATTTGATCATTACACATTGTATAATTGTATCAATATATCACATATACCCCATAAATATGTACAATTATTATGTATCCATAATTATAAATTAAAATATTCTTATTACCTTCTGATAGTTTCCAAGAACATGATTTGTTCCTTTTCCTTAACATACACCCTTTTTTGAAGCTAAAAATATGCATTCTTGGGTTCTATATACAAGAAACATTTCAAGTTGGAATAGCAATGAAAGAGATGATCTGTGCAGTGTTGTTTGCAAGCAACTGATCACAACCAGTTACAGATCTATGTGTTCCTTCTCTACTGCCAGTGTTTTACTTGACTGGACTTTGAGGGCAGGGGAATGAGATGATCTAAAACTACAGAGTGTCAGATCAGTCTTCTTGTCCAGCTCTGCCACAAACCTCATTGGAAAGACCATTCAGTGTGTATTTGGGCTTTCCTTCCTCATCAGTGTAATGGCAGGAATAGACATACAAGACTCCAACTTGCCCCTTCAGTTCTTTGAAATCGGTGGATTTTGCTGTGGCTTCCACTGGCCACCAAATTTGGTGCAAAGCTGAACATGACTTTTCTTACCCCTCATGTCACTCTATTATCTGCTAAAATTTTATTGCTTTATTAGATCTCAAACTTACACCTACTTGATATTTTTACACGTATACTTAGCCTCTTATTTTTTTTTTTAATATTTAGTGTCTGCATTTGATTCGGAAAGATATTTTTCAGCCCTATCAAATTCAGAAGTAGCTTAGAATTAGAAAATTCTTCCTAGCAGGAGTTTGTCTCACCAGCTGCTGTCTCGTAAACCTGTTTAGTAGAGTCATATTTCATAGAGCTGCCTTTTAGATTTTTACTTTGCATGGCTTAATTCCACTTCTCATTATGTCCCATCTATAGTTTTTTCAATCTGTAACTACACTCCAATCCACTAGAATTCTCAAGCTGAAACAACATTTTATACCCCCCACCCCGATTTATAAAATACATTTTATAGGCAGCTGCAATTTAAGATCAGAGTTGAACCAAAGCCAATGTGAAATCCCTTGGGAGGAGACACCAAACTCAATCACTTGAAACTTAATCTCAATTTTCCCTCTTTTTCTTTCTCTCCTTTCTCTTTCTTCTTCCTTCTTTCCTTCCTTCCTTCCTCCTCTCTTCTTTCTTCTATACACACACTCTTTCATATTTTCAATTACAAACAGAATTGCAAAACATAAGAATCAAACTAGCACTAAAATCAAGGTACAAATTTTGTACGTATATTAAAGTTATATGAATAGGTATTATATGAATAGGTATTTTCTGGAACAGGAGACAGTAGAGCAGTAAGGTATCTACAAATGCCTCTGACCCTCTGAGGAGTTCTGCTTAGCCCTCACCTGCCTAATGTGAGTTTAAAAACCTGCCTTGGACAAAGTTGCTTGACCCTCTTCTACTGCTCTGCTTTGCTGATGCTTCGATCTGTGTTCAACTTTGCATCTTGGCCCCACTGCTCTCCCACCTCATTAAATGATAACATTGTCTAGTCTTGTATTCCTTAATTTTTATTTTTTTTGAGAAATGAATCCAAACATTCTTTCACTTACACTAGTTTCTCATAGTGTACAACAGAAAGAGGAAGATGATAAGGAGAAAGCAAAGCAGAAAAAGGAAAAGAGAATGAAAAAGAAGAGATAGACTACTCTTGGCATTTCTTCCTTAATATTTATTTTACTTTTGCTTTTTTATTTTTTATCTTATTCATTTTAAATTTTAAATATCTACTTACAGCAGATGAGTTTTAGAATCAGATTAAAAATTTATTTTCCCTTATTACAAACTCATTTTTATTTTCTTTCTTGAGACAAACTGGCAGCCTACATTGCTTATTTTTATTTGCTTTTAAAAGCTGCTATTATTCTTTAGTACCCTGGGATACCAATGTGATGATCTCTCACTGGTTCTTGTAGATAGTTATACCCACAACATGCCTATGGCTTCATGGAAATGAACATTTGCCACAGCTGCATAGGAGCTTACTCAAATGGGTGACACTAAATCTAACTAAAATGACAATCAAAGCTCTGGTAAGACTATCAGGCAAATGAGTCAGAAGTTAAAATTATCATTAAAGTTGTAGGGGTCCTTTTAGAATCAAAATTTCTAAATGAATTGTTTTGGAATTTGCAGTAGTTAGAAATGCTAATTTATACAGCAGAGGAAAACATAAATACATAATAGGGCAGATGTGGCTTACTAAAGCTCTTGTAAGCAAAATTTAGGGGCCTTAGCAGACAGTAATACTAATATGACTCAAATTAGAAGTGTATTATAACCTCAAAAGTATCTTAATCTTAAAAAATGGACTTTTAACATCTTTCATGAGAATGCAATAGCCCTGCTATACTCTGCTTTGATGAGACTACACTCAAATATTGTGTTCAGTTCTGGTCACCTCAACTTGAGATGGCACAGACATGTTGAAACATGAGCAGGAGAGGGCGACCAGGTTGGTGAGGGGAACAATAGAAGGAGGTAGCAATGATATACCTGAAAAAAAAAAAAAAAAACCAAGAAGAAATAGAAAAAGTATTTTTAAATATCTGAAAGACTGTCATACAGAAAAGGCAGATTTTGTTCCAAATACTATGTAGAATCTAGTCTTCCCATCAACTTGGTCAAATATACCAAAGCTTGACTCAATGAGTAGAAGCTACAGGAAGTTCAATAACATGAAGAATTGTTAAAGACAGAATTGTCCAAATGTACTAGGCAGTTTAGGAATTAAAGAATTCTCATTATTTGAAGGGCTTGGGCACAGGAGATCCTAAGCAGATGAGATTCTAGCAGATGTTTGTTCAGACTGAGTGACCTTTAAGGAATCCTTTTCAACGATTAAATTCGGCAATACCACAAAATCAAAAGCCATTTGATTCCGACAGCCCTGGACATACTAAAGTAAGGGCCAAAGATTTTAAAGAAAAGATGGATAAAATGAGAAATTAAAATTGCCAATTTCAAATTCTCAAGCTGAGAGAAACACATTTCTAGTTAAGTAACGAGGTCAATTAAGTTCAAATTTAGAGATTCAAAATCTCCATTTTTTAAATTATTTGGTTAGTTATTCATATGTATAAGGCTGTTAGATAGTCCATTCAAACTTGGCCTCTCATCATTGGGGATAATTTTGGACATTTTGTTAATGACCAGTACATTTTTAGGTCTATGATTTTCATACTATGATTCCTAATAATTTCATTTGACAAACATACTTTTGACATCATGTTTTGTGTGTGTAAACATCTATGTAAGAATATTATTTTTTCTTTTATCTTCTGCACAGAAGTTACTCTGAAATGTATGAGAAGGCAAAGAAATGTAATAACAGTAGGCATATTACTCTGAAAGTCCTAAAGACCATAACAAATATTATCCATCTGGGGATAGAAGGGAGGTAAATGTATAGCTGATGTTTCAGAGCAAAAGAAAGAAAAGCGAGTAAAAGTCTTTAGCATTAATCAAAACAACATTTACAAACATTGAGCCAGATCCTCCAGGGACCCTAAATGACCACCAGGACATTAGCTCATTGGGGTGTGTAGTCCCTGGCCACAATGCATTATAGTGGGAAGTCATTGATTGGATAACAAAAAGATTAAAGTGGCTTCGGACCAGGTAGGCTTTCCCACCATGTAGGTTCCCACTGAAATTTGTGCAACTCAAAGAAAGAAATCACATAAATTAAAATAGGGAAGATTACTTAAAGGCAAAAAAAGACTAGCAACACTAAGACTAACCCAAAAGAAAGCTACTACATGAGAGGTGGCAAATGGAGGTCACAATAGGGTAGAACGTATTTGATGATCTCCCATCATTTGGGAGATTCAAATGATGCAAGAAAAACAGTTAAATATAATTTTCCCATGGCAAATATTTTGTTATTTCAGTGAAACTCCAAAATGTGTCATCTGTACAATATTTACTCACTATAAAAATGCTTGTTTTCCAATGGACCTTTTAAAGATGCCATTCATTGATATATCTGTATATCATGACCTGGTCAAAGTATTAGTTTTTAAGCAAGACAGAAACCAATTTCTGAAAACACATAAAATATAGCTACAATAATATTTTGATCTCTTTCATTAAATCATTATTGAAAATTTCTATTTCAAAAGTTTTTTTCAGGTTGTTTTCATTATCAGTTCAAGATCAAAAGTTGCTTTTTCTACAAAGTTTAGCAGAATGGGCAAATCTTAGGGCATTTAAAAGGATTTCATATAAGGAACCTTCTCTTGTTTTAAAAAATAATGTAATCATAAATATTAATCACTTTTCTCTTTCTAGATTTCAGATGCAAACAATAAAAGCATCATTATTCCGTTTGATAGAAACAAATAGAAGGCAAGTAATCCAGATAATTAGTGATACTTTTATATTTTAAAGTTAGGAAACGGGTTCAAGGAAAGAGGATTCAAAGAGACTTAAAAAGGAGAGTTAATAGTACCAGATATACATTATTTAAATAACACATAAATTAATAGTCTCAAGATAGTATGAAAAATTAGTAACTCAGGGAAATATTATATTTCAAAGATAAGAAATGAAAGATAAAGTTGGTAGTAGTTAAGTTTCATCACAGTAAAAATTTACAAATACCTTCTTCAACATCTGAGATATATTCGCCATCACTGAGCATTTCAGGGGCATTGGCTTTACGAACTGCATGATTTAAGTGAACAATATAAGTGGATGAAAAATACATTCTCTTGATATTACAACAAAACATTTCAATATTCCTGAAAGACATTTTTGCAATGGACTTTCTTCAGGAAACAGACGAAATACACAGTCACTTACAATTATTGTGAACTCAAAGAACATTTCATACCTTCATCATCAGACATATCAAGAACTTCATTCATCGTTTCTGGAACATTCATTTTGTGCTTCTCTGTGACGGTCTAGTAACAAAAAAGCAGTCATTTTAGTGTGAGCAGACTGTACATTTTAGTGGGCCTTTTCGTTTATCTCTGAATTAATCAGTTTCTTGTGGAATGCATGTGTTGAATATCCTGAATCTCCCACATGTAAAATGACATCAAAATTGTTGTCCCTTAGTGGCACAAAGGTTGTCACCATATACAGAACACAGGAGTACACAATGAAAGAATTCTAGTGCAAAGTACCACAGCTTAAAAGATTTAGGTCTCTAATAAAGCTTTTCAAAGGAAAAGAGAAGATTCTGCCCCTCCTACTCCACTGCCGTACTTTTTCATGGTCTGATGAATCTGCCACCCCATTCCATGAAAGGTCTTGGCTGAGGAAAAGCCAAATGAACTGTAAGAAATATGTGTCTATTACTTGTGCCAAGCTTTCCATCTATTTTGTGTTCTCCTCTTATATGTAATTTTAATTCCTAGGATAAACAAAAACATTCAAATAATATTTAAAACAATAATCTTTACAACAATGTGTATGAAAAAATACTTTAAAGGTGATGCATTGGCAGATCATTTTAGCCTTCCCCAAAATTTAAAGAACAGTATATTATGCAGCAAATGCCTACTGCCTCTTTTACTTGCTCTTTAATAGTTTAGATTATATCCATCCAAAACATACTGTCAGCATCACTGATAAGAAATTCTTAGACCATATCCATCCAAAAGACATTGTTAGCATCACTGGTAAGAAATTCTTAATGACTTTAGTTAAAAGTGAGTTTTTTGTTTGTTTGTTTTTTTGTTTTTTTTTTTTAATTCTCAGCATACGAGACACTAATGGTACAAGGGAAGATACACGTTTAAATAAGACAACTGAAAAAAAGCCAGGTTGTTAAAACTAAAAAAAGGTACAAATTCACAGTTTCTTGGTAATGTGATTTCTACCCCATCCCCAATTATTGTGTTGAAATAAAGCATTATTTGATGTCTTTTCCAGCATGTAATACTGCAATGGAGCAGTTTTAAAAATAAACTTTTATTTTTAGAAGAGTTTGAGATTTATAGAATAATTGTGAAGATAGTATAGACAGGTCCTATATACCCCACACCAAGTTTCCCCTATTATTAAAATCTTTATTAATTTTATTATTGAGACTGAGTCTCGCTCTGTTGCGCAGGCTGGAGTGCAATGGCATAATCTCGGCTCGCTGCAACCTCTGCCTCCCAGGTTCAAGCAATTCTCCTGCCTCAGCCTACCGAGTAGCTGGGATTACAGATGTGCATGGGAAGCCTGGCTAATGTTTTTATTTTTAGTAGAGACGGGTTTTCACCACGTTGGACAGGCTGGTCTCGAACTCCCAACCTCAGGTGGTCCATCTGCCTCAGCCTCTCAAAGCTGGGAATACAGGCATGAGCCACTGTGCCTGGCTTATTATTAAAATCTTTTATTAGCATGGAAAATATCACAATTAATGAATCGACATTGATACATTATTATTAAAGTTTATATTTTATTCATTTTTCTTCAGTTTCTGCTTAATGTCCTTTTTATGTTCCAGGATCCCATCGAGGATACTGTATTACATTTAGCTGTGTCTCCTTAGTTTCCTCTGGGCTATGGCAATTTCTCAGACTTCCCTTGTTTTTTTAAAAAAATTAATGTAAAGTTCCAGGTTAAATGTGCAGGATGTGCAGGTTTGTTACATAGGTAAACAAATGTGTGCCATGGTAGTTTGCTGCACCTATCAACCCATCACCTAGGTATTAAGCCCCACATGCATGAATTATTTATCCTGATGCTCTCCCTCCCCACCCCCAGGCCCTAGTGTGTGTCCTTCCCCTCCCTGTGTTCATGTAGTCTTATTGTTCAGCTCCCACTTATAAGTGAGAAAATGTGGTATATGGTTTTCTGTTCCTCTGTTAGTTTGCTGAGGATAACAGCTTCCAGATCCATCCATGTCCCTGCAAAGGACATGATATCATTCCTTTTTTATGGCTACACAGTATTCCATAGTGTATATGTACCACATTTTCTGTATCCAGTCTATCATTGATGAGCATTTGGGTTGATTCCACATCTTTGCTATTGTGAATAGTGCTGCAATGAACATACACATGCGTGTATCTTTGTAATAAAATAACTTACATTCCTTTGGGTATATACTCATTAATGGGACTGCTGAGTCAACTGGTATTTCTGGGTCTAGGTCTTTGAGGAATTGCCACACTGTCTTACATAATGGTTGAACTAATCTACATGCCCACCGACAGTGTAAAAGCATTCCTATGTCTCCAGCTTCGTCAGCATCTGCTGTTTTTTGCCTTTTTAATAATTGCCATTCTGATTGGTATGAGATGGTATTTCATTGTGGTCTTGATTTGTATTTGACTTTCCTTGTTTTTGATGACCTTGACAGTTTTGCAGTGTACTGGTCAGATATGTCCATCAACTGGGTCTTGTCTTATGGATTTTCTTTTTTCTTTTCTTTTTTCTTTTTAATTAATAGACTGGGGCTGTATGTTTTAGGGAGGAAGATCGTAGAGGAAAAGTGCCATTTCATCACATTGTATCAAGGGTATATACCATCAACATGACTTATCATTGTTAATGTTGACCTTGATCATATGGCTGAGGCAGGATTTGTTAGGTTTATCCATTGTAAAATTATCTATTTCCCCCTGCTTCCATACTGTTTTCTTTGCAAAGAAATCACTATGTTCAGCCCACACGTAAGCAGTGGGGAAGTATGTTCCACTTTGAGAGTGAAGTATTTTCATACATTATTTGGAATTCTTTTGCCTGAGACATTTGTGTCTTCTTTTCCATTTATTGAATTACTTATGTATAATAGTATGAATTCACGGATAGTTATTTTACAGTTTGTACCATACTTCAATACTATTGTATTTATTTTTGCTCAAATTGTTCCAGCTATGGCCATTGGGAACTCTTTTAGTTAATTCCTATGTCCCTTTGACATACCCCCCACCATTGTGTCTCTATATTAGTTTATTTACTTTTTGTTGGGGGAAGGAGGAACATTTCCTTACTTTTTGACATTCTAAGATGTTCCAGGCTCATCTTATAGATTTCCTTTGCTAGCCTTAGATTCAGCCATTTCTCCAAAAAGCACTGTTTGCTTTTAGTAGAGAATGGTATTAGCAACCAATATCTGCGTGCTAGAGGTATTCTGCTCCTTACATATGAAGTAATTGGGTATTTTAAACAATGCAGTTTCGATAGATATAATTCACATATTTTGAATATCAGCTTCTATCCATTCAGTTTGGTATGCTGTGTTGATTGTAATCTAATTAACTAAACCATCTTTCTCAGCATTGCCACATCATGTATTTTACTAATATGGAAAAGACATTCTCTTTGTTTTGAAAAACTGAAGTCTGCTTATAGAGTCAATGGCTGCTGGAGTCCCAGTAACTGGCTATACAAATATCATGTCCATGGTGGAGGCTGAGCTATAGTTATTAGCTTAAAGTCATAGACTCCACCCTGAATTACATCAGTCCTGTCTAAGCTAGTTTACATGTAACCACTAAAGCAAGGCTGACAAGGTGGTGTCTCAGCTTGAGAAAATGTACCAAATACCACAATGCTGGACAAAATTTTAGAGACTTCTATGGACTGTTTTTTAATTGATGTGAACTCTTCTTTTGGTGGAAGCCTCATTTTCTTCACTAGGCAAACTGGACCTTTCCAATTAGCATGCATAGTGTCTTCTCTTTTTTGCAGAAAGTCACCAACAAGGATGATTGACGATGTTGAGAGTAAAAAGGCACTACTCCTGTACACATTCTCTTCTCATGGGAACCTGATGGAGCTCTGAGACCCTTCTCTGTCTTTCAGTCGATTTTTTGAAGCTATAACTTTGTTTTGTTCTTAACTCTACTTTCTCTTAAAGCTTTTCTGATTTTGAAGAAACGTTTCAAAATTTCCTAATAGGTGAGAAAGTCATTTACATTCAACCAAATAAGATATTTATTTTGAACTTTTACATGTCTCAAGTCTTTTAACATTGAAATAGAAGTATTAATATTATCTATTTACTGCAATGGCTTCAAATCTTTATAGCACTGTGACACTTGGCTGTCGTTAAATAGTTTGTCCTCTTCTTCTCCTTTCCTATCCTAGATAGAGCTACATGAGATATAAAATTGAAGGTAATAAACATTATTGGTTTGAACAGTTTTTTGAGAACTTAATGATATATTTTAATATAATAAAATCCGCAAGAGGCGTATGAAAGCAACATGTGGAAATTTATCTCTTAGACAAAGTATATCTTGAAGTTCAGAATGTGTGCTGGTTGATAATCATTGTTCTACTCCATTGAAACAATTGTTTTCTCTTTCACAAATTACAATTTTTTTCTCCTGTAATCAGCAGGCTTGTGAGTAAAACTGCCAGGAAACTCAAACTGCAGGTAGCTACAGAGACCCTCAACCCTTTTTGTGAAACCCATTTTTCACAAAAAGCACTGGGTATACAAACTAATTTGCAGATGTTAACCATTTTCTCCTTCATGTTGGAAAGTGGTCGAAGAGAAAAGGGGACAGAGCTGATAATTCAAAATGTTCCAGAGTCCTATATTTATTTTGGTAAGAGTCAAACTCAGGCCTACGTGTTGAGTTACGGAGTTAGGAATAACTCACATAAGCCTCTGATATCATGTAATATTTGCTCTTAATTCCAAAGTTACCAAATCTTGATGCTGTTCATAGGTACCAGATGGGGTTGGAAAGAAATGACTTATCCTAGAGACTGTAGCTTGTAAAAATGTAGTTGATGCAATAGGGCCTCCTGGTAAAGATCCACTTTAAATTTTAACAAAACAGTCTATTGTGTTTCTTATGAAAACTCCAGGTGGACAGAAGATGAGTGACAGTAGCAGGCAAAACCAGTTCTGATTCATCTGGATTTTTTTTAAAACAATGTAAACATTTTTCACAGGAATGATAATGGATCCACGTACCATTTGTGCATTAAAACATTTTTAAGGAAGCAACTTAGAGTTTTCAATTTCTTTACATTGCCAAGGAAAGATGTTAAAAAATTTCTGCCTTCACCATCATTTCATTAAAAACTTGTTATATCAAAGCAAACAAATAAATAAATACATTTAGCTGTATATGGAAGTAAAAACTCTATAGCTACAAATCCATCTTTTAAATAGGTATTCTTAGTGTTTTAAATTTTTATTCATATTAGCAATAAGAGTTTTGCTATCGTGACTACCAACAATGAGGTGACTGTGTTTTAAAACATGGTGCTTAGTTTATGAATGGGAAAAAACCTTCATCTCAGAAAAGCCCAAGAAAACTGACTGAAAGCTGGTTCCTAGGATAACAAGGCTCTGCATTCCTTACTTACAGTTGTGGTCATGGTCTCTTCGGTCACTATCTTCAGGGTGTCCACTACTGAGATGTAGCCGAGGCGCCGGGCAATGCCAAGGGCAGTATTCCCATTCTGGCAAAAGGAAAATGTGAATGAGGAATTAGCAAGTCTCATTCCACATTTTTTTGCTGATACAAAATGTAAGGTGAGTGTCTCATCAGACCCATCCCACTGTCATACACAAAAAAAGTGTTTCATTAGAGACATACCTTGCACAAAACCCACCTAACCTGTTTGTACTCACACAGTAAAGTCTGGGCAGCTACATATGCAATCCAAGAGGCTTTTTAACGTTCTAAGTAAGCAGTCAATGAAACCAACACAATTTTTTTTTCTTACATGTGTACTTCCTGCTAGGTGACAATACAGCAGGTAGTTTTCACATATAAAACACTAATCATCTCTCTCTGAACAGTCCAGAACAATATGGTTATTGTCCTTTTTTCCTCATTCTACTGAATGCTCCGTTTATGCCTCTTCATGAAAGTACGATGAAAAATGTAAGAAGACACCAGAGTCCAGGCCCATCTATCTCCTCCCTCTTCTCCTGAGCTGGCCCTGAGTGCTTACCACAGTGAGTTCATTGGGGGAGGCATTGTTCTGAAGTAAGACATTTATTATATGCGTATGTCCCTGCTGTGCTGCTTGATGTAATGGTGTATATCCATTCTGTAGAAGGAAGATGGAAGAGATGATTCTTAATTCCTTTGAAACAAAAATAAGTGATTCTGGCAGAAACAAAAAAGGAAAGAGCTTACCTTTGTTTTGGCATTAACTTTTGCAGAATGCTGGAGCAGGAAATTAACAATCTTGATATTTCCGTAGTGGCAGCCCACATGCAGTGGTGTGTATCCCATCTGTAATTATTATTTTTTTTAAAAAGAAGCATCATAATTATACTTTTACTAACAGCTATCCTAAACAGACGCAAAATCATTATGTAACCTTTCTTTTTGAGCTGGAAAAAGTAGGTTTTTTTTCTTCTCTATATAAAAAAATTGCACTTGATAATTCTCAGCATAAGACTTAGGTATAAATTAAAATACCATTGCCCATAAAATTGTTAGCTCCTCAGAGTTCTTGCTTTATTTTTTATCAGCTCATCTTGTTCTTCGAACTCTTCAAGATAGAAAAGAAAGATGGACCAATTGACAGCATAGACAGACTGATTCAGCAGTTTCTTGTTCAGGGACAGAAGAGCACTTTATTAAGACTTGACTTGTTTATTGAATACTTTCTGAAAGCTTTAAATCTAGGCAAAAATGAAGGGGCTAAATAATAACACACGGCAGGAGGTGATCATCAGAATGCCTGATAGAGGTAGGAAGAAGCACAGAAACACTAAAAGGAAGAGGGAGGCTGGTGTGAGCTCAGGTGGTCTGAGAAATATGAACTCGAGCAAGGTATATCAAGTTAGTTTTTTGCCTTCCTACCTAGGGTCCCAGAGTTTGAAAACCACTGATTTAGACAAAGAAATGGATTATTTCTCAAATTAGTATCCACTGACCCCTGAGGGTCTATAAGTTCTCTCTCTCTCTCTCTGTGCATGTATGTGTCTGTATACAATCTAGGTAATTATTTTTTTTTAAATAAGGATATTCCAGATTCTTCTCTAGATGGCTGATTTCATTATAACATACTACCCTGCAATTTCAGAGCCCCTGTTCATAATGACACGGACAGTACCAGATCTCTGAAAGGCAGAACATTGACCTTTTATTACAATACTTCTAAACAGGAATAGGGGTGGGTGATCCATATTTTCAGGGGTCTATATCTTATATGATGTCATTAGTGTCTTTATGGTGGCCCCAGCAAATGAATACATTTGAATTTAAAAAAGAGATGCCCAAACCACTGTTGACTGTAGGAGGTGAAGATACCTTACCAGGGATGTGCTGCCCTAGAGAGGTGACTCTCGGTAGACTTTTTTTTTCCTTACATGTGTACTTTTTTGTCTCACAAAACAAATTGCCAGTGTACCCACACTGACCAGACTATCCCTGAAAAGCTCATCATAACCACATAGAGGAAACTGACTTACAGCCTCTAATGCCACTTAATACATGATGGAAGAAATTCCTTTTCGGTGACCAGAATCCATTTGCCTGCTTTGCAGGGTTCTCCTTTTCAGTACAGACGAACTCAGATACTGCACTCATGATCAGAATACTGCTTAATAAGGGAAGCTTGAAAATAATGTGTCCGATCAATGCTCAGTACAATTGGTTTAATTGATTGAAGTAACATTATTTCCAAGTTCAAAGAACTTCCCTTACAAGTCAAAACCATGTGGACCCAATATTTTCTAAAAATCTAAATATTAAAAAATTCTTTGAGATTTTAGTCAATTTGCCTAAGTTGTAATACAACCATTTCTAATAGTTGTTGAGATGGATGTGTTGATCAGATATATATATTTAAGACAGGGTTGATTATTTATTTATTTATTTATTTATTTATTTATTTATTTAGTTGAGACAGGGTCTTGCTCTGTCACCAGGCTGGAGTGCAGTGATGAGCTCATGGCTCACTGCAGCCTCCCCTCCTGGGCTCAATCTATCCTCCTGCCTCAGTTTCCCAAGTAGCTGTGACTACAGGCATACACCACCACGCCTGGCTAATTTTTCTATTTTTTGTAGGGCAAGGTCTCACTATGTTGTCTAGGCTGGTCTCAAACTCCTGGGCTCAAGTGATCTTCCTGCCTTGGCCTCCCAAAGTGCTGGGATTACAAGTGTGAGCCACCATGCCTGGCCTAAATATTTTAATGAACAGGTTCTATTCATCCTCATAGCTTCCCATCTCATTCTTACTAAAACCCTAAATCATTATAAAACAGTGTTAGGAGTTGTCTAATTCTAGTCTCCCCTATCCTCCTCATCCCCCATCCATACATCTTTTAACCCTCCCACCATTCTCTCCCTTGGTCGCTATGCTCCAGGGCACTGGTCTTCTTGCTGTTCCACAAACACTAAAGTGTTTTTTCAAAAATACGTGGCCATGGCCAAGAAGATTGAACTTGCATTCAGAGAAATCAGATGTGAGCTCCTCCATTCATTGGGGTTACCGGCATTCCCATACAAAATAGCACCTCACATAAATACGCTCAGAGAAGTGGGACGTGAGCAATTCTTTCCAATCAGCAGTAACAAATTTTTCAAAGACTATTTTTTTCTTGAGTAGCTAAATAAACAAGCAAACATATAAAGAGCCATAGCCCAGCAAACGGAGCAGCCTCTGCCTCTTTGCCGTGGCTGCCTCACTGATAACATCATTACAAGCTGATTAGGTTTTTCCTTCCTTCCTTTGGGCAACACTGGATAGAGCTCAGCAAAACCCTGCAAAATACATTCGAGTCTTTAACTACTTTCCTTCCTTTTTTCCTCTCTTGATTACCAAGTAGTAGACGTTTACGTCCATTCACTGATCAGGCTGCACTTCTGACTGATGAGAACGGGGAAAGGAGGGTCTCAGCAGCCAGGAGCCTGGACCTCAGAGGCAATGTCTGGGTTTGGGACCCAGCTCTGCTACTTACTATCTGTGTGAATTTGGACAAGTTACTGAACCTGTCTGTGCATTGGCTTGTGTATTATAAAATGGACTTTAGTAATAGTACCAAGCTCATTGTGTTGTCACAAGGATTAACTATGTTAACAATTATTTCAACAGTGTCTGACACATAGGGTTAGCTATTACTACCTCATGCTGAAAACAGTGACTGGCACATCATCACTGCTCAATAAATATTTTAAATATTTGGTAAATTAATGATTGAAAACAGGAAAAGATCAGGCCGGGTATGGTGGTTCATGCCTGTAATCCCAGCACTTTGGGAGGCTGAGGCGGGCAGATCACCTGAGGCCAGGAGTTCAAGACCACCCTGGTCAACATTGCAAAAACCCAGTCTCTACTAAAAATACAAAAAATACAAAAAAAAAAAAAAAATTAGCCAGACGTGGTGGCATGTGTCTGTAGTCCCAGCTACTCAGGAGGCGGAGGTGGGAGGATCACTAGACCCTGGGAAGTTGATGCTGCAGTGAGCCATGATCATGCCCATGTCCTCCAGCCTGGGCAACAGAGTGAGACTCTGTCAAAAAAAAAAAAAAAAAAAAAAAAGAAAAGAAAAGAGAAAAGAAAAATGAAAAGAAATTGTCATTTCTACCTCTCGCTCAGCCTATCCCACTTCTGATACCCCTTATAATTTTGCTCACCAGGCCAGGCATAGTGGCTCACATCTGTAATCCCAGCACTTTGGGAGGCCGAGGCCGGCGGATCACCTGAGGTCAGGAGTTTGAGATCAGCCTGCCCAATATGGCGAAACCCTGTCTCTACTAAAAGTACAAAAAATTAGCCAGGCGGTGGGTGCCTGTAATCCCAGCTACTTGGGAGGCTGAGGCAGGAGAATCGCTTGAACCTGGCAGGCGGAGGTTGCAGTGAGCCAAGATCACACAATTGCACTCCAGCCTGGGCGACAAGAGCGAAACTCCATCCCCCACCAAAAAAAAATAAATAATTTTGCTAACCATTTTTCTTTCCTCTGGCATGTTCATCTCAGCTTATAGACATATTTTTATGTTTCCATCTTAGAAACAAAAAGTACTCCTTTCAAATATTTGTCCTTTTCTCTAGGTTTCTATCCTTTCAAAACTAAACTTCTTGAAAAAAAAATCTTCTTACACTATTCCGCCCATTCTCCCTACATTTCATCATCTCCACTACTCTAGTAAAACTGCTTTATAATATCCCAAGTGCCCAGCCATGCATGGGATGCATGGACTTTGAGCTTCTCTTATCTGAAACACTTTGACAGTTTTTTATAATTTGACAGCCCTATCATATTCTTTCGTCATTTCTCCTCTACCTTTGGACAGGCCCTCCTTTGCCTCCTCCATCCACTGTAAAATGGAGTGGATCCCAAGGGTTTTGTCTTTGGTTTGTGCCACATCTTTCATTGAGGATTACACCTACTTTCACAGTGTTAGCTAATACCTTGATTGCGATGATTCAGAAATCTGCATCTTTAGTCCAGCCATCCTTTCTGTGTCCAGATCAATATGTGAATCGTTTATTGGGTTTTCCTACTCGAATGGCCCCTAGGTAATCTATAATTCAACACACTCAATACGAAACTCATAGTCCTCTTTCCCCAACTGGCTTTGTCTCCTTTATTCTCTTGTCTCATTGAATGGTACTTGTGATCACCCAGTTGCACAGGTCAGATCCTTAGTTTCATCCTGAATTTCTTGCTTCTCCTCAGTCCCCATACACACATGGTCTTCAGATTTTTTTTTTTTTTTTTTTTTTTGAGATGGAATCTTGCTCTGTTGCCCAGGCTGGAGTGCAGTGGCACCATCTTGGCTCACTGCAAGCTCCGTCTCCCGGGTTCACACCATTCTCCTGCCTCAGCCTCCCAAGTAGCTGGGACTACAGGCACCCGCCACCACACCCAGCTAACTTCTTTGTATTGTTTTAGTACAGATGGGGTTTCACCGTGTTAGCCAGGATGGTCTCCATCTCCTGACCTTGTGATATGCCTGCCTCGGCCTCCCAAAGGTCTTCAAATCTTACTTGTTTGTATGTCTTTTAATTATTTCTCTAATTTCTCTCCTGTTCCTCAGTGTCTCATCTGCCACTTAGTTCAGGCCTTCTTCATTCTTCATTTGGATTTCACAATAGCCTAACTGCCCCTGCTCCAAAGTTTAAAATCAACTTATTCTTTGCATTGTTTCCCAGGATCTTTGTAAACCAGACTGCTGATCTCATTACGTTTGTGTTTAAAACCTTCAGTGGCTTCTCAGCGCACACAGGATAAAAAGCTGAACAGCTTAGCCTGGTACATTAAGGCCCTCTGAGATCTTCTTAATTTTCTAGCAATATCTTAAGACATAATCTTAAGACGTTTTTCTTAAGAGGAAGCTATCCTCTATCCTACCTACCTTTGTCAAAAAACTTAGTTATTACCTAATACTCTAAAATTATATATATATTTCTAGATATAGACCTATGGTCAAAATCAGGCTTTGTAATAATTAGCTTTGGGACCTTATGCAAGTAATTACTTTTTCTGTGCCTCAGTTTCCTCATCTGTAAAATGAGGATGTTAATTTCACCAGTCTCATAGGGTAGTTGTAAGAATTAAACAAAATAATAAATATAAAGCACTGAGAATAGTACCCGGCCCAGAGAAAATGGGTAATACATTGTTTTATTTTATTATGTTGATGACTTTGTTATTATAATACTATGTGTTTTGCTCTCTAAACTATAAATTCTATGAGGGCAAGGAATGTATCTCCCAGGTAAGAATTTGGTGACCAGTAGGAAATCTATAAATAAATGTGAAATGAGTAAGCATCACATAAGTTCTCAAAGCTTTTTACGCTTTTACACACATTTAAAGAAATCCAGTGTAACTCCTGATCCCTAATTAGTGTCCTCTAAGAATCAATGCCTTTCAGGGGTGGTCTAAATAAAATGCTTCTGGACATTATCCTTCTAAAAAGCAAAAGCAGTGGCTTCATCTCTATCAAACAACATTGATTATTACACCCTGTGGCACAATTTAGCTTAAAATCATTTGGTGAACTTCAAATGCAAAAGAGGGGTGGGGTATAAAGAGTCAGCAAACTGGAGGGGTGCAGGGGGAGAGGACTGCAAAGGCTGTTACCAGGATTTTCTAGTCTTTTCCTCATCAGGGAGAAGAAGTCTTGATATTTTATTATTATTATTTTTTCATGTAAGCTAATGAGTTGAATGGTATACATCCCACTGTGGGCTGCTTGGGGCTGTCTTCTTTACCAGTGAGAATGTGAACATTCCTGGGATACAACAAACTCCTTATGCACAAAACTAAGCAGTAAATGCAAGCAACCCAGCTATCTGCACTTCTGCTGTGCTCTAGTTATGGGACAATCATGGCTTCACTTCCTTTTGGTGGCTGTGACCTTTGCAGAGAAGAGAAATGAAAGGAAAAGAGGTTGTAAAGGACAGAGAGATGCTTTCTGAAGTGAGATGCTCTGCTCCGTTCATAAAGGGCAGGAAAAGTTACATGCCGCAAGGTATTATACGGAGTATAAAAATGACTATGTGGCCGGGCACAGTGGCTCATGCCTGTAATCCCAGCATTTTGGGAGGCCAAGGCAGGTGGATCACCTGAGGTCAGGAGCGTGAGATCAGCCTGGCCAACATGGTGATACCCTGCCTCTAATAAAAATACAAAAATTATCTGGGTGTGGTGGTATGCGCCTGTAGTCCCAGCTGCTCAGGAGGCTGAGGTGGGATCGCTTGAATTCGGGACGTGGAGGTTGCAGCAAGCCATTACATTCCAGCTTGAGTGACAGAGTGAGATTACCTTTTGGAGGGGGGAAAAAAAAAAAAAAGACTACCGACTGGGACCTGAGTTGGGCTGGGTTAGGAGGAAGCTATGGTGGAGTCCTGAGACTCGTACACATCAAGGGGCCGTGTGTGCAAATGGAAAACAGACAGAGGCAGAGCAGTACTTGTTTCTCTCCTCCCCCACCTGGCTTTGAGAATCTTCACCATACTCCCTGGCTGAATTTTAGGGCATGGCTTGGATGTGCTGGGGCAGAAAAATGTTAAGAAACTTGACCTAGACCTTGCCTTCTAGAGTTTCATATCTACAAAAAGGAGAGAGAACCTAATAAAGTGTTTAAGTCTGTCTGTCTGTCTCTCTCTTTGTGTGTGTGTGTGTGTGAATAAGCAATATGGAATGAAGACATTTACCATGAAGTTGCAAACTTCCAAAGTCAATAATTATTTCCTGATGAAAGTATTCAAGCAACATAAGAAAATAAGCTGAATTCAATCTCATTTTGGTGTCAATACCCTTTTATCTAGCTAATTTGGGATAGTATTTCTATATTACTAGTTACTTCAATATGTCCATATACATCAGAACCTACTTATATTACATATAAAAATTTTATTCACAATATTTATTAGTCATTCTTTTTCATGTCAAATATGGCATATAGAAATAAAACATATGTGGCCGGGCGTGGTGGCTCACGCCTGTAATCCCAGCACTTTGGGAGGCTGAGGCATGCGGATCATAAGGTGAAGAGATCAAGATCATCCTGGCTAACATGGTGAAACCCCATCTCTACTAAAAATACAAAAATTAGCTGGGCGTGGTGACGCACGCCTGTAGTCCCCGCTACTCGGGAGGCTGAGGCAGGAGAATTGCTTGAACATGGGAGGCGGAGGTTGCAGTGAGCCGAGATCAAGCCACTGCACTCTTGCCTGGTGACAGAGCGAGACTCTGTCTCAAATAAAAAAAAAAGAAAAGAAAACATATGTTACAGTAGATGACACAAATCTGATATTAAGCATATAAAGAAAAATTTCAGAGAAATGTGATTAATGTGAAGCTATATCTTTGACGATGACATGAAAAGTCTTTTATTTTTCTGTGTTTGAATTGTGGCATTATATAAGACTAATCAGTAATTTTTTTTTTCATTTTGAAATGAGAGTTTTTTTGTCTGAGAGAGGGAGAATGCAGGCAAGACTGCACAGACCATTAGGAATTTAGCAAGTGAGTAATATTTAAATAAGCCTTAATTTATCCTGTTTCATAAATCGTGCTGAACGAACATAGGGGTCATAAATTACAAGTTTTTCTATTTGTCTATTTGTCTGCATTTAAAAAATCCATCACACAAACTAAGAGAGGTACACGCTTTCACACTCTGCCCCTAAAGGAGCATCTGTTGTAAGGAGGCTCAATAGTGTTAATATAGGGGGAAATTATTATACAGTTAGGATCAAGTACCCAGGCCGTTAAAGACAAAAGTCCCTGGAATATGGCAATCAGAGACTTTAGTGTCCCTTGCATAAATATATATTTAAAATACTACATAGAAAAGAGATGATTAAAGGGTTTGTTCTCCTAATATGAGTATAGTTTCTTCCTTACTGCGGTCACCAAATGGACACATTCTTTCCCATGTGGAAAAGGAGGGGTGCATACCTTTGTCTGAGCGTCCACATGAGCCCCTTGATTTACGAGGACTTCTGCCACATTCACTCGATCTTCTTGAGCAGCCAAATGGAGTGGGGTCAGGCCACTCTGCAAAAGATTCAAAGGGCACAGTCATCTTACAGGAAGTAATGTCACACACATAGCCACCATGTTTGAGAAACCATTTGTGAATTCTAAGATGGTAAGCCAAGAATTTCTATGTAAGAAAAAGCCTATGGAATAAATTTATATGCTTGGGAGGCTGAGGCAGGTGGATCACATGAGCCCATGAGTTTCAGACCAGACTGGCCGACATGGCGAGGCCCCATCTCTACAAAAATTAGCCAGGTGCAGTGGCATACACCTGTAGTCTCAGCTACTTGGGAGGCAGGAAAATTGCTTGAGCTCAGTAGGTAGACGTTGCAGTGAGATAGTGCCACTGCACTCCAGCCTTTGTGACAGGAGTGAATAAAACCTGTTTCAAAAAATATATATATATATTATATACTGTCTTAGCACTGTGTTAACATTAGTATCTGTAAGCATGAAAAATTGTAGGCATACTCAAAAGTGTAAGGGGCGGATCATGAGGTCAGGAGATCGAGACCATCCTGGCTAACACGGTGAAACCCCGTCTCTACTAAAAAATACAAAAAACTAGCCGGGCGAGGTGGCGGCGCCTGTAGTCCCAGCTACTCGGGAGGCTGAGGCGGGAGAATGACGTAAACCCGGGAGGCGGAGCTTGCAGTGAGCTGAGATCCGGCCACTGCACTCCAGCCTGCGCGAAAGAGCGAGACTCCGTCTCAAAAAAAAAAAAAAAAAAAAAAAAAAAAAAAAAGAAATGGAGTAGGCCTTGTATACTCATCACAGACTTAGCAATTATCAAAGTTTTCCTATATTTGTTTCATCTATCCCTCTTTTCCTTTTCACTCATTTATTTGTGGCAGTATTAAAACAAATCTAGACATTATAACATTTACCCCCATACACTTCAGTGCTCATCTCCAAAAATTAGACTCTTTTTTTTTTTTTTACAAAATTATGCAAGAGTTTTAATATATTGCCAATGGCACTAGCTTTACCAAAAATTATTTAAATGATATCTGTTTACTAAGTGAACATTGACATATGCTGATAATATTTTCTCCATATTAATTCCCAAGGTCTAATGAATATTTTCTGTATGTCACTCTGGGTAGGAAAGATCGCCTGTGGAATGTGATGTGAATGCAAGATTATGAGAATTTCCAGGTCATTTAGATGATGTATGGGTTTAACAAGACTGATACAGTATTTGAAACTAACCTTATTAGAGAATTTGCAGAACACATGGTTGCTCTCATGACCAAGAAAAAAAATTACTAAGACTATACTCTGGTTGTAAAAAGCCTCTTTACATTGTAAACCATTTTTTTGTAATATTTAAGAGAAAGTGAGTTGGTGTAAGTGCTTTCAGATTTTTTGCTTTCATCCATTATGAGCACAGAAGTTAATATCTTAATCCTGGAAGTCTTTTCTCCCCCTCTAGCATCTGTGCAATGAAAATATCAGCCTGTCCTATTTGTCAGAGGAAAGGAGGTAATGAAAGGCAGTTTTAGGAAGAGCACAGAGCCTTCTAGATGTGCAACATTATTTATTCAGGGGTTGTTATTCCATCAAGCAATTATGGAACGCAGAGAGAGTCAAGCTGGGACTTTTTAATAATGTTTATAGAATTTTGGAGGAAGCTCACTCAAACTGAATCAAGGGAGAAATGTGAAAAGCAGGACTGATGCATTCACTTGCAATTCAAGAAAAATAAGCCAGGGCCAAAATTGGCACCACCCAAACACTGACTTCATCATAGAACCGTGTTCCATGTTCTACTTCAGAGGAAATAATATTGTCAGCCATAACATTTTGTGAGTGTCATGGTCACCTATTCTAAGTTTGAGACTTTTGACACTGAGGGTACTTTACTGAGTAGTTCTCAGCAAAGACTGAGAAATGCGTTGTGGGCACATGTCGTCCTCTCACGCTCCCATGTCTAGGTGCCTGCTGCTTGCCTGGCTTACCCACTCACTGATGGAGTCACTTCAGGCTTCCCTGGCCTTTCTCTCTTCTCATTTCAATAAAGGGCCAAGTTAGTACATTTATTTGCAAACCTACTATGTGCTCACCTCAAAACTATCATAATCCTGCATTTAAACTCAGTTTTCTTGCTTGTCTTCCTCAAACCACTGTGAGCTTATTGAGGCAAGTATTGTATCTTTAATTTTTATATAACCAGTGTCCAGCATCTAGCATTTAATCTACCCATTAATTGATTAAATCAGAGAAAAAAAGTCAAACATTTTTCTTAGGTAGAACAGGATAAATTATATAAATAACATTTTATTTTTATATTCGTGGCTATAACTTAAAAGATTTAAAAAAACAACCACAGCACTGTTTGAGTTCAGAAGTTACCTGTTAATCTTTTGTGGCATTTTGATCATTGCTCATTTTAAAAATAGCACTTAGGGCTGGGCGCGGTGACTTGTGCCTGTAATCCTAGCACTTTGGGAGACCAAGGCGGACGGATCCCCTGAGGTCGGGAGTTCGAGACCAGCCTGACCGATATGGAGAAAACCCATCTCTACCAAAAATACAAAATTAGCTCGGTGTGGTGGTGCATGCCTGTAATCTCAGCTACTCGGGAGGCTGAGGCAGGAGAACTGCTTGCACCCTGGAGGCGGAGGTTGTGGTGAGCTGAGATTGCATCATTGCACTCCAGCCCGGGCAACAAGAATGAAATTCTGTCTCAAAAAAAAAAAAAAAAAAAAAAAAAGAATTTATTTGAAACAGAGAAAACATCAAATTAAAATAACAACAGCTCTGTTTAATATTCTTCCAGTTGTATAAAAAATATAACATTGGGGTCTGCAAAACCTATATGGAAAAATAGGAACATCAAAAGCAAAACTGAATCAAATTGAACAGTAGCACCTCAACAATAACTTGGGGTTCATGATCATTTTTCCTTAAGAGTACTGGGAAAGTCCTAGTTACTAGTAAAAAAAAAAGAAAGTAAAAACAATAAAGTGTTTAGTTCAACATAAATTATGAAAGCTAAATCTTTCTTTCAATAGTTATTTTTTAGCAAGGAAATAAAATGTAGTGTTATATGAGAAGAGGGAAAGGTAGGCAGGAGAAGGGAGGAGGGAACAGTGAGTAATTGATGCTTAAAACACTGACAACTCAGGAAAAACTGACAAAAACTGAGAGACAGTTCCTTATTGAATAATAAAAAGTTTTGCTGCTTTTCTGTTTTCATATGAGGGCATGTTTAGTGCTTTATACTGAAAATGACAACTGAGAAAGGATGCAAGGATTTACAAATGCCTTCTCATTAGATAGTTTCTAATGAGAAGTTAGAAGTTAAAAGTATTAGAAGTTCTCAGAAGTTCCTCAAGTTCAACATGCTAATTGAAAGCCAGCTGATCTTTTAGAATTCCTCTAGGAATATCTCTGTTTGTGTATCATTTATTTAGGAAGGTGGCCAGAAATTTCCAGGTTTCCCTGGTTTACTATATGTCTTTGAGTCTTCAGAATTCCTTTCGTTAATTTCCACTCTACTAAAGCAAGCACAGAGAAAATTTTTGCCCTGAATATTTTTAGCCTAAAATCATACTATGAGTCTAAGGTGAATTCAAGGCTGGGTATATATTGTACCAGTTAGCTGCAGGATTTTGAAGAAACAAAGTCGGTCACACTGCAGTTTGGTATCAAACCTACTGGAAATATTCAATGTAAACCAATTGTGAAAGTACTACATTGTTTCTGGAAGAACTGGTGAAATACAATATTATGGGCTCAGAAGAGAAAATACACTCTGATACCAGCATGTGCTTCAATTTGGGAAACAAAAGGTCCTCTTTGTCATAAAGACAAGTTGAGTTTTGAGGCAAGCCATTACAATTCTTGTCTCTAAATTGGTATATAAAACTATAGAAAATTCAAAAGATCAAACAAATCTTAACCATAATGACTATTAGAAATTGCTTTGTTATTCCCATTAATGCTGAGACATGCACTCATAAAAGGAATGTTTAACAAGAAAAAAATAAAATTAAAAAAATTAAAAAAAATTTTGCTCTGTAATGACCAAAAAAGATTTTCACAATACTAAAACTAAAAAAACATATCCCTGGTCTCCTGTATGTGTCTTTTGGTCTACAGAATTTGTTAAATAATAAACTTGAGAATTCAGATTGATATGGAGTAAGCTTTTTCCAAAATTGTAAAAATTCTAAAATTAAAAACAGATTTTTTCTTACTCAAAAAAGTGTTGAATGTTATCTCAGTGAATCCTCACAGCATCTCCTGAAGCCAGTATTATTATCTCCATATACTAAAGGACAAAACTGAGGCTCAGAGAGGTGATAGAACTTGCCTGAATGACCCAGGAAGAATCTGACTTAGGATTCAAACTCTCTGTGATTTCAAAACACACACACATGTGTTAAAAGTATTTAAATTACTTGTTATTTGTCAACCTAAGACTATTGCTATTTTGAAACCCTACTCCAATATCTGAGCTAAGGCTGAGAAATATCATAGCTATGCCCACACCCAGCAGGCAGAAGACAAGCTAAATGACAGAGAGTGGAGCTTATCATGAATCTGAGGGCCCTTTTGCATGGTTTCCTATTATCTGAAGATTTAGAAACACCTGTCTTGTGTTTTGGGCAAATCTTAATGAGCCATTCAACAAAGCTAAATTCTTTTGATATATTCAGGGAGAGGCAGTAACTTCATTAACATGTTTCTGGTTAATTGTGGGCTGAACTTTCACTTTGCTTGACAAAACTCTAGTCTTTTCTTTATGAATAATGAGGATATCAAAGATGACAGCATGGGTGTTTGAAGAGTTTAGGGAACAGTCTTCACAAGTTCCTTCAAAATTGCCAACAACTTCCCCTATCTACTCCATAAAATAGCTACGCTAAATTTGTTATTAAAATGAACTCACGAAGGCAGCAATATTTCCCATTTCTCTTTGTAACCTAGAACTTAAAAACGGATGAGCAAGGAGCAGGACCCCAAAAATGTTCGTGGAATAAAGCAATGGGCTACAATTTGCAACTACTTATTTGCTATGTTATGGTGAAGTAACAATGGTGTTCTTTGAATTAACATTATAACAAAACTTTATATTACTACAAAAACTTCCTGGACTTCATTTTTATGGCTATATGTATATAGAGTCACCTGCAAATACACTCATTGTCTGACTGAATTATCTGAATTATTTGTTTACCATTATCTTTCTCTCTCTCTCTCTCTCTTTTTTTTTTAAAAGACACAGGGTCTCACTCTGTCACCCAGGCTGGAGTATAAAGAAGCAATCACGGCTCACTGCAGCCTTGATCTTCTGGGCTCGAGCAGTCCACCTGCCTTGCCTTCCCAAAGTGCTGGGATTAAATGCCTGAGCCAGAGCAACTGGCCCTATTGACTATTTTTCTTATTGTTTAAACAGATTGTTTCCAATTTTTTGCTCTGTGAAGTAACACTTTGGTAAACAGCTTGGTGCAATATTATACTTTACACATCCTATTTGACCCAGATCTTCTGTGAATTCTTAGTGACCTTTCTGAGGGGTGAGGTTTTGGTGTGCTGCATGCTTTGTCAAGAAAGAAGTGGGTTACCTTATTGCTCAGGTTCACATTCGCATTTCTACTAAGGAGCAGTGACACCATGTCCACATGCCCTTCCTGAGCTGCGAGATGGACGGAAGCAATTCCTTGCCGGGTAACTGCGTTGGCATCAGCACCATATTCCAGCAGAGTTGTTGCTATGTCCATCTGGTTCTTTTTGGCAGCGATGTGCAGTGGCGTATAACCATTCTGTCAACACAAATCACTTGGTCACATGCCCAGGAACAAGATAAAAATGTGTACAGTGCATTTTCAAATAGTAGATGTCTCTTTCTAGTGGTTTTCTGTGATTGCTTAAGAAATCATGATTAAGTAAGCAAATACTGGTAAACCAAGTGGTACTATGAATATAGTGCCCTCATGTCTCCTGCATTCCTAAGTAGGGAAAGCATAACTTAATATGGACATTTTATTTAATTATTTATTTATTTTATTTTATTTTTTGAGACGGAGTCTTGCTCTGTCGCCCAGGCTGGAGTGCAGTGGTGCCATCTCGGCTCACTGCAAGCTCCGTCTCCCGGGTTCACGCCATTCTCCTGCCTCAGCCTCCCGAGTAGCTGGGACTACAGGCGCCCACCACCTCGCCCGGCTAGTTTTTTGTATTTTTAGTAGAGACGGGGTTTCACCGTGTTAGCTAGGATGGTCTTGATCTTCTGACCTCCCAATCCTCCCGCCTCGGCCTCCCAAAGTGCTAGGATTACAGGCGTGAGCCACTGCGCCCGGCTTAACATGGACATTTTAAGCAAAAAGAGTCAGAGTATTATTGGTTTTCCAAAAGGAATATAGATTTCCCTTTTACAGGAAGTTATGTTACAACATGCTCAATAATTACTTGCTTTATTTAAATTGAGGACAGGAGGAAGAAGCAACAAACAATCAGTTATCACTAGGGCATGTTCAGAGCCATTCATTCTTTTCTTCTAAAAATACCTTTAATGGCCATCTATTGCTTACAAGTTGAAATTTTTAATGTTCATGGAAGTTAAGACACTGTAATCTCTTCTCATTTGGCCCTTTGATTTCCTCCTTTACAAAACTTGTCTTTATGCTGGTCTGTCATCCTGCACATCCCCCAAACAGAATATAGTCTCATGTTTCTCTGTCTTGCCTTACTCTACAAGAATGCTCTTCCCTAACATGCCCAGGAGCCAGCATCTGTCAGCTGAAAATTCAGCTCAACGGCCACACCCTCCGTGAGGTTTTTTATTTCTTCCCACCCCTCAAGCCTCAACCCCTACCCCCAACCCTGACTGACTCGTATCAAAGTCCTGGGGATATTTAGTGGTACTCTTTTGTTTACTTATCTATCCCCTCCTACTAAATATACATTTGTTAAGGGCACATATTGTGTCATATTTGTCTTTGTGTCTCTCTAGTGCCTCACAATAACTGCCATGTATTAATTACAGGAAGAAAGGAATCCTCAGATTTTGAATCAAGAGTAGCAGAGCTTTCAGCACATTCTGGCATCCTTCTCTTGGCTAACCCCTGATAACCACAGAGAGACAATCAAGATTCCCTTGATAAACTGTTGGTCAGCTGTGCCTCAGGAGCCATCAGGGTCTCCTGCCCCAAGAAAGAGTTTTGGGGGATGTTGCCCTGGTTCACAGTCACTTACAAGAAGTGCAAGATTACATTTTGACATGGACAGAAACCTGAGTATATCGAATATGCTAATGACAAATTGGAATGATTTTTTTTTTTTTTTCCCATAGACAGGAAGGTTTAGAAAAAGAAAATAGAATCTAAGAATTTGTATTTGGAAGTACGATCCAAATCTGGACAATGGATCAGTCACAATCCTTTTGAGCCATGTAGAAGGATCAGAAACAACACAGAGGGTTTTGAGGGTCTGCTGCACTCAGTACTCAGCCATCCTGCTGCAATGACCCTCACATTTCAGTCACTGGCATGTCCAAGTCCAACAGCATTCCTCACTTCACAAACCCTTATATCAACCCATGAACGTGGAAATGTCACTTCTAGACTCTTCTGAAACTAGCCTCTGCCAAACTGGATGAGCCAGGGTAAAAGAAGATTTTATATCCCTATTTTTAATTTTGACCTATTGCCATCTGAAAACCCCAGCTGCCCTGAGAAGCATTTGGCCCTCTGCTGGGACACACCCTTCAGAGACCGATGCCCTCAGAGCCAACTGCAGAGCTTTGGTCTGAGCCCAACGCTGCAATGAGTGACAGGAGGAGGGGAGTTGTTTCATCTCCCCAGTACTCCAGCATAAAAGAGAAAATTCACGAAGCAGCACTAACATAGGAAATATAATTAGTCAATGTGTCTAACACTAACCTAACTACTTCAAGTGGTAAAGACAAGATAAACTCATAATTTAGCTTCTTATCATGTATCGTCTCTCTTTTTGCTTTTGCTGTTGACATAATCTTCAGGTTAGTCACTTCTCAACCCCTAACTAAGGTAAAGCAGCTCAAGACCCTCTCACACATGAAAATCTTGTTTACTTCTAGTGCCACCAAAAAGTATCCTATGTCCTAAAACTTTTTTTTAATCAAGAGAACTGTACCAGTCAGGCATGGTGGTGCATGCCTGTAGTCTCAGCTACTTTAGAGGCTGAGGCAGGAGGATCACTTGAGCTCAGGAGCTCAAGACCACCCTGGGCAACATAGGGAGAGTCTGTCTTTAAAACTGAGAGAGACAGACAGACAGAGACAGGGAGAGACAGATACAGAGAGAGAGAGAGAGACAGAGAGACAGACAGACAGAGATGGACAGACCCAGCTCTGTAATATATGCCAATTCCAGACAAATTACTATTATTGCTCAAGGATTTATCTTGAGCTCCTTACCTGAGACACAAAGGAAAGTACAAAGCAAGGGAAAAATGACTCACGTATTATTTTACTATGAAAAGTTAATCTCAGAAAGACTTAAGAAATATCTTCAAATAATAAGCACATTTATCTTGAGGCTTCTAATGGAATTTTCTAAATTTTCTAAGTTGTTTCTACTTTGTGAAAAGTAAAATGATCCTCACTTGCCACACTAAGAGAGGCAGATGCATCTATCAAAAGAAAAATTAAATAGCGAGTGATTCAACTGTAGAATAACTTTGACCTATATGTTTTTTTCCCTCTTGATGTAGAGGACAAAGTGCTTGCCGCATGTGCTTTTGTATTTCAAAATTAAAGTAAAAGCAAATGCAACTTAAAATTATCAGAAGTAATATATAGCATTTAAATCATAATTGAATTTGTTTCAAGAACTTTCACAAATATACTGATCCACATCAATAGATATGTTGCATATTTTATGGAAGAGAAACCTGATAAATAATACTTAAAACTTACTATCTCTTCTACAATTAGTATCCAGGTTATACCTGAACTCAAGCCAATCCTCTTGCCAGCATAAGGTCCTGCCACAGGAAATAGATTGGACTAAAATAGATTAGAGCAGCCCATCTACTTTTCAGTACCCCAATTTCCTGAAACCTCATCACATTTCTAGGACATGTATGAGTAAGACAATACATTGGTAATTTTAAAAGAGAAGAAAGGAGAAGAAAGGGTAAGAAGAAGGCATCACATACTCTAAGACAAAGGACAAAGGATGTGATTTGATGAAGAGCTAACATTGAGGTTGCTGTTGTCACATCCATATAGTAATCATGCCCTATTGAGGCTCTGTCCCTTATCTCTCACCACTGTCAGAATTCAGGAATGCCTGAACTTCCCTGGAGTAAAGAAGACCCATTGCCTGCTCTGTATTTGTTCTCCTTTCTTTTTTAGCAAAACCAAACAAATCCCCAACCAAAACACAAAAAATAAAAGCAAAACAAAACAAACACACAAACTTCTCTGGCAGTGTGCTCAGCACTATTTCTCAACTTTTTTTGCACACAGAAGTGGCCAGTGGGGTGTAAGGAGATGCGGTTTGGTGGAACTTCTGGGAAAGCCCTGTTGTGCTGACTTTCTTGCTGCCTGTGGCTTGAAAGTAAATTTGGCAACCAATCAACTCTCTTTGAAGGGAAAAGCCAAAGATTCATTGCAATCCGTGTTAAAATATCCGCGTCATTTTTCACAGAATTACAAAAAGCAACCCTAAAATTCATAGGGAATCAAAAAGGAGCCCAAATAGCCAAAGCAATCCTAAGCAAAAAGAACAAAGCTGGAGGCATCATATTACCTAACTTCAAATTATACTACAAGGCTATAATAACCAAAACAGCATGGCACTGTTATAAAAATATATGCATAGAAAAATGGAACAGAACAGAAAACACATAAATAAAGCCACATTCCTCCAGTCAACTGATCTCTGACAAAGTTAACAAAAATAAACACAGAGAAAAGGACATCCTATTCAATAAATGATGTCTAGGAAAATTTGATAGCCACATGAAGGAAAATGAAACTGGACCCATAACTCTCACCATATACAAAAATTAACTCAAGATAGATTAAAGACTTAAATGTAATACCTGAAAGTATAAAAACTCTAGAAGAAACCATAAGAAAAACTCTTTTGGACATTGAGCTAGGGAAAAAATTCACAACTAAGACCTCAAAATCAAATGCAGCAAGTCAAAAAATAGACAAACGGGACTTAAGTAAACTAAAAAGCTTCTGCATAGCAAAAGAGATAATCAATAGAGTGAACAGATACCATATAGAATGGAAGAAAATATTCACAAACTATGCATCTGACAAAGAACTAATATCCAGGATTCATGAAGAACTCAAGCAGCTCAACAAGAAAAAAAAAATAACCCCATTAAAAAGAAGGCAAATGACACAGACAGACATTTTGTGAAAGACCCACAAATGACCAAGAAGCATATGAAAAAATGATCATCATCACTAATCATCAGAGAAATGCAAATCAAAACCACAACCGGATACCATCTCACACCAATCAGAATAGTTGTTATAAGAAGTCAAAAATAATAGATGCTGGCAAGGATGCAGAAAAAAGGAAATGCTTATACACTGCTGGTAGGAATGTAAATTAATATAACCTCTAAGGAGAATTGTAAGGAGATATCTCAAAGAACAAAAAATAGAACTACCTTTGATCCAGCAATCCTACCACTGGTTAGATATTTCCCAAAGGAAAATAAATCATTATATCAAAAAAGATACTTGCACTCGTATACTTATTGCAGCACTATTCACAATAGCAAAGTCCTGTAATCAACCTTAGTGTCCACCAATGGATGATTAGATAAAGAATATGTGAATATGTGGGATATATACATTTTATTTATTATTATTACTTTTTTGAAACTGAGTCTCGCTCTGACACCCAGGCTGGAGTGCAGTGGTGTGATCTTGGCTTACCGCAACCTCCAACTCCTGGGTTCCAGTGATTCTCCTGCCTCAGCCTCCTGAGAAGCCAGCCACCATGCCCAGTTAATTTTTGTATTTTTAGTAGAGAAGGGGTTTCACCATGTTGGCCAGAATGGTCTCCATCTCCTGACCTCGTGGGTCCTCCCGCCTCAGTCTCCCAAAATAGTGGGATTACAGGTGTGAGCCACTGCACCCTGCCTATTTTATTTGTTTTTATAGCTGAGTAGTATCCCATGGTACGTGTGTGTGTATACAGATATATATACATACATATAGTAGTATTCCATGATATGCACGTATCGCATACCTGTGTGTATGTATACATATATATGTATATACTATATGTTTATAGCTGAGTGGACTACTCAGCTATGAAGTGGACTTACTCAGCTATGAAGTCTTGTTTGACAAATATAAAGCTGGAAATCAATTATATATTATATACAATTATAATGTATATAATTTATGTGTGTATACATATATACACACATAAATACACACACACACCACGGAATACTACTCAGCTATAAAAAAGAATAAAATTACATCTTTTGCAGCAACACAGATGAAACTGGAGGCCATTATCTTAAGTAAAATAACTCAGAAAGTCAAATACTGCATGTTCTTGCCTAAAAGCGAGAGCTAAATGTGTGTACATGGACATAGCGGAATAATAGACATTGGACACTTGGAAAGGTAGGAGGGTAGGAGTGGGGTGAGGGACAAAGAATTCTCTAATGGGTACAATGTATACATTTTGGGTGATGGTTACACTAAAAACCCTGTCTTCAGCACTAGGCGATATATTCATGTAACACAACTGCACTTGTACCCCCAAACTGAGTTTTTTAAGTCACAGGGAACTTGCCTCAACACCCTATATCAACATCAACAACTGCCCTGTCTACCTCCTGACTGTTTGTGCCATGAGAAAACGGAGGCTCATCAATTTAAAGCATTGTAGCTAGGGTTTTTTTTTTCCCCCAGCAGATAAAGCCAATACCTAAAATTATATGACTGGCTTTGCTTAAGATTAAAGTCTAGAAAAAGTTCCTGACCAGTACCACTGCCCCAAAGACAGGGATTGTTGGACATGTGCCAGAGATGGCATTACCCAGGCTCTTATGGAAGCAATTGTGCATGGAAATGAGAATCAATGTCCCATTAGAAACACCTGTGTTTAACTGACTATTAAAAATATGCCTAAGGCTAATGGAATGTTATAAAGAATTATTTAAAGGACTGCTTTTCTTTTCAAATCTTTGTAAAGGATGTTTTGCAGATAGGGAACTATGAATACTAAGTCTTGTTTGACAAATATAAAGGCGAAATGAACTAGGAATATACCAACTATTACCCTGTTTAAGTGTTATTTGTGGGCCTAGCACAGTAACTCACGCCTGTAATCCCAGAACTTTGGGAGAACGAGGCGGGCGGATCACCTGAGGTCAGGAATTTGAGACCAGCTGGCCAAAATGGTGAAACACCATCTCTACTAAAAATACAAAAATTAGCTGGGTGTGGTGGTACATGCCTATAGTCCCATCTACTTGGAAGGCTGAGGCAGGAGAATCACTTCAACCTGGGAGGCAGAGTTTGCAGTGAGCCGAGATCGTGCCTCTGCACTCCAGCCTGGGTGACAAAAAAAAAAAAAAAAATTATTTGTGAGCAGAAAGAGACATTGGAGTCACCTGCTGTACTAATTGCTTTATAACTTTGGTCAATTTTACACTGCTTTTTGTGCCAAAGTTACTATTCTCATTCAAGGAAAAAATAGTTCACTTGCTAATTATTTACTTGTTATCTATGAAGGATGAAGGACTTGGGGTTACTTATACATAGGTCAAGGTAGCTCACCCTTGTAATCCCAGCACTTTGGGAGGCCAAGGTGGGAGGATCACTTGAGGTTGGAAGTTCGAGACCAGCCTGGTCAACATGGTGAAACCCTATCTCTACTAAAAATACAAAAATTAGCTGGGCATGGTGGCACACGCCTGTAATCCCAGCTACTTAGGAGGCTGAGACAGGAGAATTGTTTGAACCCAGGAGGTGGAGGTTGCAGTGAGCCAGGATCGTGCCACTGTACTCCAGCCTGGGTGACAGCGAGACTCTGTCTCAAAAAAAAAAAAAAAAAAAGAAAAGAAAAGAAAAGAAGAAAAGAGAAGAAAAGAAAAAGAAAAAGGAAAGTAGCCCACACATACCTGGGTAAAAATGAAATGAAATAAAATGTACAACCATTAAATTCCTTACAAATCTTTCTCCTTAAAATTATGCTAAAATATCATAACAAAATTTCCCATTTAAAGCATTTTTCAGCATACAGGTCAGTAGTATTAAGTACTGTATATTCACATTGTTCTCCAACCATCACGATTATCCATCTCCAGAACTTTTTAGTCTTCCTAATTCAGATTCTGTATCCATTAAACATTAACTCCCCATTCCCTTCTCCTTCTACCCTTGACATCCACCATCCTCTGTCTGTCTCTATAAATTTACTACTCTATGTACTTCACATAAGTAGAATCGTACATCTGTCCTATTGTGACTGGCTTACTTGCATAACATCTTCAAGATTCCTCCACGTATTATAGCAGCGTATGTCAGAATTTCCTTCCTTGTAAAGGCTAAATAATATTCCCTGTGTGTATATGTGCAGTGAGTATATGCATTCATCCATCAATGAATATTTGGATGTTCTCACCTTTTGGCTATCATGAATAATGCTGCTATATCTTTTTTTCAAGATAAAGTTTTATCAAGTCAAGTCGTGGTTTTGTAATAGAAAGAATGTTTGTCAGGGTCAGAAATTATGGAGGGGAAAGCTACATTTAGATTAAAAGGAAAGTTGGGAGTTTGATTTTGAATTTGAGATTTCATTTTAGATTTTGAAGTATAATTCTGGAGAGGATGGGGCAGAAAATGATTGAAATTTTCTAGGAAGAAATATCTATCGAAGATAACATACTCTCTAAGAGACAGTACCCAAAAGTTGGTCTCTTAGTGTATCTAAAGTAATCTAGAACAACCCCAGTTCATTCATCTGTGTATACAATGATGTGATCTAAACATTAGGTTTAAAGGAGAGCACTGCAGCTGCCCCTACATGGAATAGTAAGTCAAAGATGTAAAAAGCATAAGGGAGGCCGGGCTCAGTGGCTCACGCCTGTAATCCCAGCACTTTGGGAGGCTGAGACAGGTGGATCACAAGGTCAGGAGATTGAGACCATCCTGGTTACGGTAAAACCCAGTCTCTACTAAAAATACAAAAAATTAGCCTTGCATGGTGGTGGGCACCTGTAGTCCCAGTTACTCGGGAGGCTGAGGCAGGAGAATGGCGTGAACCTGGGAGGCAGAGCTTGCAGTAAGCTGAGATGGCGCCACCGCACAGGTCTCCAAAAAAGGAAAAAAAAAAAAAGCATAAGGAGCATAAGGGATACTCAAGGGTCCTTCAACCAATAGTGTTTAGCGAAATAACTGAACACTGAAATGGTGGTTTGCATCATTTCAGTGTTCTCTGATCATAGCCACTTGCTCAACAATAGGAAGAGTATTAAAGCAATAGCACTCTATTAACCTGTCTTTAAGGAAGCTCTTCTTTATGATTTGTCCCTCAAATTAGATTACTAAAATAATAACATAGCTATATACCCACTCAGTTTCTCTCTTTTCTCAGAAATCTAAGTTGTCTACTGATCAAAAATGCCCTAACAATAAAGATCCTCCTTAGCAATAATAAAAACACACATGTAAAACCTCTCAACCTATTTTACTAAATTCAAATAAACAACTTGAAGGCAATTAGATGGCCAGAAAAATGTAACACATATTTCATAATTCTGACAAATCAGAACTTTCTTACTCCCTCAGGCTATGCTTATGTTTTTCATCTGGCTAAAGAGTGTTCCAGCTCTCCTTCCTCCAGGAGGTCCTGGATTGTCAAAGACAATCAACTGACAAGTAAATATTTCCTGAGCATCTACCATATTAGCAGACTAAATCACTGAAGGCACAGATGTCCTAAGGTGCTTCTATTTCTGTGATTTTTTTAGTGGTGCCTAAACTAGGAGGGTGCTCCTGGTGAAGCAGGAGTAGATGTGCAGATAGAGACTGATAGACCTTACCCATCAGTCTCCTTAGGCTGTGGAATTATAGGTACCTTTGCGGCTGCATGAGGTGACGCTCCTTGGTCCAAAAGCAGAAGGGCCACTTTCTGATTATCGTAATGTGCAGCTACATGCAGTGGGGTTAGCCCGCTCTGAAAACACGTGCAGAAACAACAACCAGTGTCAAACGTGTCTTAATACCAGAGGCCTAGATTGAGGAAATGAGATTAGATTGGATACAACATAGGGCATATTTACATTCCAATTTCCACAGTACTTGGACCTCAGCATTTACCTTTTATTTCCCAAGTGCTCTTCATCCTAGTGGGACTTAAATATTTAGTTACAACTCGGGTGGCCATTAGTGAATATTAGCAAGTGTGTGTTTTGTTATCGTGGAAGTGGCCTGCTTCAGGGTGGCTGGTGACCTCTTACCTTCCCAGCAGCATCTGGAGATGCACTTTTCTGTAGCAGGAGATTGGCAACTTCAAGCTTTCCATATTTTGCTGCCACGTGGAGAGGGGTAAATCCTTTCTGAAAAAAAAAAGAAACATAAATATAATGAACAATAGAAATGATATAAGGAAAACACATGCAAAACCCAAACCAAACAACAAACAAAAAGATATGACATAAGGGCACTGCCTTCCAGAACTGATTAATTATTCTAGTGATGATGAGCAGTGAAGTCTGCATTTAAAGTCCAAGACTCATAGATAAGAGTTCAAGAGCCTTCTTACCGACAGGGTGTGAGCACAACATACCAGGATACCTAATCTTTCTCCCTTCTGCTGACTGAACCACGACATGCTATTGGTTCTGGGAGTCATCAGGTATGTCACCAGGATGAAGTTGGAAAGCTGGATCTGGGGCTTATTCTAGGACTGCTTTTAGAGTTTCATATTGTGGGAAGAATAAGTTACAGGGTCCCAGACTCAGTTTGCAGGGTTTGGGAAAATCCAGGGGAAGTCTGAACCTCTCACAATCTCACATCACCAGACTGGACACTTTCTCTTCTTCTTTCCCTGTTTCTCCATGTATACACAGTCCTTATGTGTCCTCTAGTCTTCAGGAGGAGTCAGAAATTCTCTTACCTTTAACACCAGAGGTGAACTTAATGACATGGTTTTAGAATGATGAAACGCCTATTCTGTAGGTGAACTGAATAATCACACATGGACAAACATGCAACAATTGGATGTTAATAGCTGAGTGGCTGCTCCCTCAGCTTCCAACTCCTACAAGAATCTGTGTATCAACCAGCCAATCGTCCCAAATCATGAGTCAGGGATTAGGGGGTCATCAGCACATTTGACCTCATGAGACTACAGCAAACTAAAAGGAATGTGCAGCTGGTATGGTGAAATGCCTGAATACTCAAGACTCCATCACCCATTGCTCCGTTTCACATCAAATGAGCTTCCTAAACTTGCATCTCAACTCTACTGAAGAGCCCAAAGAATCACAAGAAATGAAATTTGAGGTAGTCATCATTTATCCTGATAGTTCTCTATTTGTAATTATCTTCTATATTGATTACACATTAATCTTTCTTATTTGCATCCAAATAAAAGAGTGCAGTACCAGTTATTAGCTTTGGAAGGTGCGCCACAAGCCAATTCATCTTGCTATCACATTTGCTAGGCTTATGTAGTATCACAAGAAAAATGAGCTCCAAATTTTGCATTCTGCACATGCAGAGCAACTGTTTATGTTAGGGTATTACTCTAAGGCATCAGAGTTGAGATAAAAATAAATCAAACCATAAATCAGACAAGACAATAATGACAACAGAAAGAACAAAAACAAACAAAAACAACCTCAAGAAAAATTTACTGCCAGTTTTCCAAGTGTTATAAAAGCATCTACCAACCAAGCTGTGATAGTGTGGTTTGTGTGCTCGGCCTGAGCATTTTGCTAATCTGTAGCTCTGTTTTTATAAAATTTAAGGCCATCAAATAATTTATAAGAAGTCTGACTCTGGATATCATTAAGGTTTCATTGGAAGATAATGTACTAAGAAACTTAAGGCAAAAAAAACCCCACAAAATACTATCAATTATCCTCTCCCACCACAGAGCTTTGCTGGCCATATTAATGACTAACGTGGGATCGCAAGAATAGATGCTGTTATGCGGCTTCTGGACCTGTGACTGTGCTGGGAACTGTAAGGAAGATATATTTGGGGGAACAGAGCAGGATTCTGAGATACGCTTTCATACCTTTGTTGTTATAGATAAAGATGCTCCATGATCCAAAAGGAATGCGGCCACATCCTCATGCCCCTCTCGGGCGGAAAGGTGAAGTGGGGTGTACCCAGAAGTTGTGGCTGCATTTGGAGATGCTCCTTGCTGCAATAACTGTTGTACTATGTCTGCTTTCCCCAGTCGGGCTGAAATGTGGAGTGGGGTTTGGTCATCCTAGACAGCAAGGTAGAAACGTAAGGCTGATGAGCTGAGGAAACAATGGTGCCTTTATGAAAAATTCACGGAACATTAGATGCTTGATGTAAGAGGTACAATCAACTTTTTGAGTCAATGCTAAAAAAAAAATCTTATTTGTCTTTTTCTTCAATGTTCAGAAATGAGGAGATGGTAGGTCTAAGCTCATTAAATACCTTTGGAGAGTGAACCATTAATAAGAAAACCGTGAAAGGCAGTTCTGTCTATAAATGACTCCCCAACAACACCTGCCACAGAGAATCAAATTTGAACTTTAACTGCTCCTTCTTCGGGAGATAAGACAGTGTATCCTAGTAAAACTCATATACCTGGGAGGGATATTATACCTCCACAACAGTTATTATCCACTCACATGGAATGAATTATTTTGTTGGTTCTGTCTTCCCATAGACAAACGCAGAGTGTGAGGAAGGCAGTGTAGGTTTGCGCAGTATACCTGTGCAAAGGCTCCCAGCCAAAGGGTCAGCACGGGCTGATGCCCTCTGCTTGCCAAGCTGTGTATCCTGGTATGGGCTGCATCTGTCTAGACTGGAGAGCCACATCACTACAATTCACCCAAAGGCAGGAGGTACTCACCAAGTCCTGATCCCCTAGGGTCTTATCCCCAAGTGGGAGGCGCAAATCATCTTAATTTGCTCAAAGATCCCTGTGGTAGTCCTCGAAATAGAAATTCTCTACTGAATTGTGATAAGGTTGAGGTAAATGGTTTAAGTAGGAAAGGTAGAGAAAAGAGGCTAGAATAGAGGACACCATTTTGGAAGAATAAGGAAGACGAGGGTCAATGTCAAAGTAAGAGGGGCTATCTCACCAGTAGGAAGCATGAGAGGAGTTAGGGAGATGCCGCAAGAGAGAAGAGGAATATTGAAAGCAGAAAAAAATAGGTGCCAAGGACAAATCTCATATACTGCTACTACTGCCACCCCTTAACTTGAAACTAGAGACTGCAGACTGTGCAAATGTATATTTACATATTGTAGGTTGAAATTAAATGGTTTATGATTCTGGACCTGAACTGCCATTCTGATAACCAGACCAAACTATCCATCCCTATAGCAGCAGATAAGTGGGTTTCTCCTGCAGGTGAAATACGAGGCCAATTCTGAAGTGGCCAAACAGCTTGTGTAGAAAAAAAAAAAAAATCCCTCATTTTCCTTTTGTGGCTGTTGACAGCTGACTTACAAGTCAACCAAAAAAGCTCAGTTATTGTTCCAGATTGTGATTGTTCTAGAAGCTTTGTGCATAAGCCCTTCTCCACGGAGTGTGAAGAACTTTGGACCAAGTCTAGATTCAGTCCCCAACCTGTTAGGGACTAGCCATGTGCTGACAGTTTCAGGCACAAGTTCTCATCTCATCCTATTTCATTTTGTTAAATAATCGAACGAACACATGTGGAGGGAAGGGATTTTTCACAGTGTTACTTGGGTAGGGACTTTCCTTATTGGAGGTTGTTCACTATTTTTAAAGTATTCTTGAAAGACGGAATAAATATACTTAAAAGTTTTATGAAAATCAAAGGGTTTTTCCTCAATTTCAAACACTTTTCAAGTATTGCGCATACCTTAGCTTTAGCTTCTACCTGAGCTCCGTCTTGTACCAGATACCGCACAACTTCAGCTTGGCCGGAGCGAGCTGCCATGTGCAGCGCTGTTTCTCCTCTCTAGGGAACATGAGCCAAAGTAAATTAGCTGCAGCTCTGAAGAAGAGTGGCGTATTTTATTTGGCATAAAGCTTATGATGGACTTTTTCAAAAATAAAAAATAGTCCTAAGCACTTCCTTATTGAAAAGATAGGAAGTCAAAATGCATAAGAATTTCACAGGAACCTGGTCCATGAGGCAAAGACTTTGGCATAAGCCTAGGGAGTCTTGTCACCCACTGTGCCAGGGGCGCTGCTCAGTAACCTACAATGTGGCCTCCCTTGGGGCTGGAAAGGCAAGTGCTCATAGGAGCCAAGCAGGCGGGTGAGTGAGTGCAGCTGGGCAGATGTGGAGTGCTTGAGAGAGCCCACACCTGTGCCGAAGCAGGCAGCCATCCCCCCCCCCCACACCCCACCCCCAACATCTTCAGCTCGCTGCTGTCACTGTGCAGGATGCCAGCCTTACCATGCCACACCATGCAAGTTTTCAAAAGAAGTGGCAGTCTGGATTTTATATAAATTTTCCTATTCTTAAATATTGACCATAAATTCAGAATTAAAAACAAAACACTACATGGACAACATAAACATAGTCAAGGGCCGGATTTGGCTTGTCAACAGTTGGTTTGCATTTCCTGTTTCTTAGTCTTTGGACATTTTAGGCTTAGTCTTTGGACATTTTTCCCAGTGGATCATTTTCTTTGCCCTGGACCACCGTCCCCCTATTTTTTCACCAAGTAGATTCTAATTCAGATTACTTCTTTACTTGATTAAAAATGAAAATGATATTAGAAACAGATACACTGAAATGGACAAAACAAAAATGAAATACATTCTCTCACATAGGTGATGTTCACTTTTAAACTGCCTTTATAAATTGAGTTTTGCTTTATAGGCCACCTACTTCCATGGAAGGACACGTGAGGACAGATTCCACAGGAAACTGGTGGATTGTGTTTATTGGAAAGGTGTTGAGGATGTCGTTTAGTGTATTACTCAGTGTTCCCTCTACGAATGAAAACATTCTCTGCAATTAGTACCAGGAAAGACTGCATTTCATCTGAGAAGCTGGTCTATTTCTATGTTATGGTTATGCTGCTTGGGGCTGCTGGAAGATGCAGTCTTACTGGGGAGCCCCACTCTCAGGGTAAGGGTGCAGGACCTCATAGCTTGCCCCTTCTGTGCCAGGATGGTGCTTGTTTTATTGTTACTTCTTTAATGCTCATGAGTCCAATGAGTGCTATTATGTTTATGGTCTGTTGTGCTAATACTATAATGTCAAATTTGAAACTCTGTAAAACAATGCCACATGCAGATCACGGGTGGTAAGTTACCACTCTGATAGCTACTCTGAAGTGAGCCTCGTGGTTCCTACAGAGCAATGTTTGGTGTGGGAAAATAATACCATTGAGTAATCTTTGGACACAGAATTCCACGGGTTTGCTATAACATGGTGAAGCACACTAAAGAGAGACTACCTTGAAGTTAGTTGAAATCACTTCTCTTTTTTTTGAGATGGAGTCTCACTCTGTTGCCCAGGCTAGAGTATAATGGCATGATCTTGGCTTACTGCAACCTCTGCCTCCCAAGTTCAAGTTATTCTCGTGCCTCAGCCTCCTGAGTAGCTGGAATTACAGGCATGCACCACCACAACCAGCTAATTCTTTTTTGTATTTTTAGTAGAGATCGGTTTCACCATGTTGGCCAGGCTGGTCTTGAACTCCTGACCTTAAGTGATCCACCCATCTCAGCCTCCCAAAGTGCTGGGATTACAGGCATGAGCCACCACGCCCTGCTGAAATCACTTCTTTGTATAAATAACCATAGTGTCTAAACGACCTCTCCAACATGTGGCACTTTTTAATGTTTTTGTTGTAGAAAAATATTACCCACATTTTATTTTTTATTTATTTTTATTTTTTTTTTTGAGACGGAGTTACACTCTTATCGCCCAGGTTGGAGTGCAATGGCGCAGTCTCGGCTCACCACAACCTCTGCCTCCCGGGTTCAAGCAATTCTCCTGTTTCAGTCTCCCGGGTTGCTAGGATTACAGGCATGTGCCACCACACCTAGCTAATTTTGTATTTTTTAGTAGAGACGGGGGTTTCTCCATGTTGATCGGGCTGGTCTCAAACTTCCGACCTCATGTGACCCACCTGCCTTGGCCTCCCAAAGCGCTGGGATTACAAGCGTGAGCCACCGTGCCTGGCCACACTTTATTTTTTACAACATAATATCCAGTAGTAATGCACCTGTACGTTTAATGAACATAGTTCATAAGTCCTAACAATTTGTGGCCAACTAGAGACTGAGCAGATCTTGCCTTTGAAGTAAAGGAAACAAACGTATTCTTGAATTTTCTTCTTTTAAGTAGTCATATTAATTACATATTCATTAATTATAATAACAATAAGGTAGGGCATGGTGGCTCATGCCTATAAGCCCAACAATTTAGGAGGCCAACTCAGGAGGATTGCTTGAAGCTAGGAGTTCAGGACCAGCCTGGGCAACATAGTGAGGCCCCCATCTCTACAAAACATTTAAAAATTAGCCAGGCATGATGGCACATTCCTGTAGTCCCAGTGAGTTGGGAGGCTGAGGTGGGAGGAGCACCTGAGTCCAGGATTCTAGGCTGCAGTAAGCTATGATTGCACCACTGCATTCCAGTCTGGGAGACAGAGTGATACTCCAACTCTTAAAAAAATAAAAAACAAAAAAGTAGATAAAAATCACCTTTGCCAGTTTATTAAATACTCACAACGGACCTCCTTCGTTCAAAGAATACTTACCACATTGGTGGTGTTTGGTGAGGCTCCATGATGCATTAGTTGTGATACAATATTTACATGCCCCATGAAGGCAGCAACATGGATTGGGGTAAGGCCCGACTAAGGGGAAAAGAAGAAAATGGTGGTTTGTTGGCTTAACATAAAAAAGGTTTGTCAGTGAGCCTGCCTGCCTGCCTGCCATCCATCCATCCATCCATCTAAACCAGTTTAATGATCAGATTAGAAGAATCAGGACATTCACCATTATGTTACAGATTCTATAATGGTAAATATATCAACACATAATCATCATTTTCTTAAAGCAAATTCTGTTACTATGAAAGACTTATGTCATACTTATTAAAAAAGAAAAAGAATTTATTTCATACTTTTAATGTAGATCTTTGAGAAAACTGATAAATAACTTGAAGGTTGTTTTTCCCCTTTACTAATAAACTTCCTTATCCATATGTGTGTGTGTGTAGAGGGAGGACAGTGGTGATTTCATATATATTAGTAAAAAGTCAACTTTTATTTCAGATCCTATTCTGGGCTTTAAAGAGGATTCCCATTTATGTCACATATAAAAGAGCAGGGTACCTAACACGAAGCTGTTTCTTTAACAAATGAACAAATCAGCATTAATAGTTTCAAACATTTAATTTTTTAATTTTATGGGTATTACAAATTAAGGCAATAAAAATAAAGCAAATATGACAATGTTCACTAGACTAGACTTGAATTGCTTCAGATCCTATGCACACATACATACACATACATGTACGTAGACCCCAGAATACTATTCAGCATAAAGCAGAATTTATTGATTCCAGGATATTTTATATTGAATATGCCCATGATTGTGAGATTTAAATAGAGTGAATAAGAAAGATAAAAATCTCAAGCCATTAATTTTTTAAAGAGTATAATTTACTTATGCTTTTTATATGAAACGATTCCATTTTAAATTTTTCAGAGTTTAATTTAGTTTACAACATGAACATCATAACTTGATAAAACTTTTTTTTTAGTATATCTAGAAAAAGCTAACCTGTTTTTTAAAAAGGGACAGAAGGGGATAATTAATCTCAGCAGAAATTTGAGAAATGCCAAAAATATATGAAAGGAATTCTATACAATCAAAGTGAGGTAAAAGATAGAAAAGGAATAATTCTGGCTGCCCAGACTTCAAAAAGTGAGAAGAATGGAGGACAATTAGGAAAATGAGAATTTTGTGATAGTCTTGGCACCTTTTTCCATCGGCAGGGGGAGTAGTTAGAGCTCGTGCAAGGCAAAATCTTGGTCTAAACTGCCCTTTAAAGCTCTTAGGGAACAGAGAGCTGGATTACTGGTTGACACCTCTGCACATTTACTCAAACATCAGCCAAGAATTTACTTTTATTTTAGAGCCTATTTTGATCTCTAAGAGAGTTCCTATGTACTGAAAGTAAACTTTCTATTTTATACTTAAAAATAACAGGTTGCCTAATATTAAGCCATAAGCCTGACAATATGGCAAATCAGTATTCATGTTCTCAACCATTTCATATTTTAAAAATTCTAAGTGTAAATCTAGGCAAATATTCCATTTGCAGGCAAGAAACTGAAGCCAAGCAACAATCACTAGACTAGACTTTAATTTTTATGTTTGCTTCAAATGCTATAGTTAAGCATCAGGTATTCAACAAAACTTTACTGAATGATTTACTATGTATGGGCCAGACACTGTGTGTATATGAAGACCAGTCAGACACAGCCCTGCCTCCAAGGAGCCTTCAGCCTCTGGGGGTCTTGGGGGCGCCACTGAGTCATGAGTCAGAGAGATGGATAAAAGCACAGAATGAGGTGATGGTTCCTAGAAGGAACATGTAGTCCAGGCTGGGGAGTGAGGGGAGGTTTCCTGAAGAAGGTGGCCCAGATCTGGTTCTAAAAGATGTGCAGGATTTGCTCGGCCAAGGGGGTGTGACACACAGAGGTATAGACATACAGAGGCAAACAAGAGAGTGTCTAGTCTATGGAAGTGCCAAGGGTTAGAATTAGAATTAACAGAGATCAGAGTGCTAGGAGGTAATGAGGTGGAGGTTGGGGGTCTGGGACAAGTCTGAAAGGGTAGGTGTCGGGCTTGGTTTGCTTTGTAGAAGGTGCAGCCCCGATTCTGATGGATCATTTATCTGAGTTCTAAGTTGGTTACTATAAGAGAAACTTAGATCTAATCCTTTACTAACCTCAGCAGCAGTTTCATTAATTTTGAGTTTTGAGACAGAGTAATCCTTACTTGACAAAAGCACCAAGGTCATCTTGTGCAGGGTTTTGACATTTTGAATCGATGATTTTTTGTTGCGGGAGACTGTCCTGTATACTGTAAACTGTTTAGTAGCATCCTTGGCCTTAACCCACTAGATACCAGTAGTACTATCCAGTTGTGACAACTAAAAGTACCTCCAGACATGACTAAATGCCCCTTGGGGGACAAAACTGCACCCATTAGAGAAGTACTACAGTTTAGGATTTGATACAAATTATGCTTTCTGTGATGGGGCCGTTCCCCTTAAGCATATGTTTTAGGTTACATTTCTTGACATAGTAATACATTTGCATCCAACTCACCCACCAACAGGCTTGTCTGCTTCTCCTAAGGACTGGCAGCCCTTTTGCTGAATAGTTCAGAATGCAGTCTATGGCCATGATATACCAACAAACTAGCTGGTCCCTGGAGATGGCCTGGGGCTCTGGCTTCTAAGGCTATACTCTCGGTATCTCAGGACTCCCAGAAATCTTAACTCTTCTCACCTCGGTTACAGCTTGGATGGATGCACCGTGTTTCAGAAGGAGTTCCATTACTTTAATTCGATTCTTCTTGCAGGCAATATGAAGAGGAGTAAAGCCATTCTGCAAGGGACAAATACATATACCTGCTTGACCATATTCCATCAAAATCCAGTTTCACTATGTACAGTAAAATAGTCTTGCTAAAATGATGTGCGGTAAATTGAAATGAACAGAAAGTACCAGGGTTAAGCAGCACATAGATTCTATTCTGGAAGTAGTCTAGCTGCCCTAGGAATCCAAGGTGCCCTGGTAATTGTGAACAAAAAGTGAATTTTTGTTACAGTCTCCTTGTTAGCTGAGGTAAAAATGATCATTCATTTCGTTGTTTTATTTTGGAATTTGCTCTTCCAAATAATATGTTCCCGGCTGGGTGTGGTGACTTACAAGTGTAATCCCAGCACTTTGGGAGGCCGAGGTGGGTGGATCACCTGAGGTCAGGAGTTCGAGACCAGCCTGAACAACATGGTAAAATCCCATCTCTACTAAAAATACAAAAATTAGCCGGGCATAGTGGCAAGCACCTGTAATCCCAGCTACTTGGGAGGCTGAGGCAGGAGAATCGTTTGAACCCAGGAGGCAGAGGTTGCAGTGAGCCGAGATTGTGCAATTGCACTCCAGCCTGGGCAACAACAGGGAAATTCTGTTTCAAAATAACAAATAATAATAATAACAATAATAATATGTCCCTCCTCTACCTCATTTCAAATACAGACTGAAAACTCCTGGCCCCAACATTTGTCCTCACGGCTCCACTTCACCAAGGTTTATTCTGTTCTCTTTGCTGTGTTTTAGGACAACTACAAGGCCAGCTCTAAAATGTTTTGATTTCTTCTCTAGCTTTATGCTTCAAGTAGGTGTTTAACCCAAAGATGCAGAAATGTAAATAACCCATTATCTGAATAATTTGGTTTACTATTTAATCTAATAAAAGAATCTGCTTTTTAATAAATTATGTCCCAAGTTGTCCTGCCTGCCAGTTGAGACTGTGGCACATATTTCAGCAGCCAGTGGAGAACTATAAAATACCAGAGTCCACCGTAAAAGCTTAGGTCAAAGTCACTGCAGGTGCTTTCACTAAGACTTCTCAGACCATTTGGCCACAGTCCATCCCAGGATGACTGGCTATAACCTCCATATGTTGTGAAATCTTCAGAGTCACAGGAAAATGAGAGTGGGAGCCCACGCCCTGTTTTGGGACTTATTTTTTTTTTCTTGTATGGAAAAATGAGTCATGACTGTTAATTTCCTTTCTCCCTTCTCAGAATTCAGACACGTTTGATAGACTGGGTGGGTCAACAGACAGATCTTGAAATGCTGCTTTGGTAAAAGGTTTTAGAAATTATAGTGGCAAGGAGGTGTCTGGGGTCTGGAGAGTTTCTCTTTCGTCATTCTTTCCTGCCCACTCTGAATTTTAGAGCCCACAGAGTACAAGAGGTGGTAGAGATCTATCCAGACAGGATGACCGCACTCTTTGGAAAGGGGTAAAAACCCTTCCTTAAAGTGTCGATTGGATGATGACAGACTTTACCTCAAAATTGCTAGTAAACTCACATGCTTTCCCTAAAATTGGGTGACTTATTTTTTCCTAAACATGGGTACTTATTCTGAAATAGACAGCTTACTAAGTTGGGACCATTTATTTTTGCAAAGACAACAAACACCATTTTGCTGAGAAAACCAAAGTATAGCATGGCTAAAGGTTAAAAGAACAAATTACTTTAAAGTGAAGCCTATAAACCAGACCAAAATTCTGATTGGCAAAAGGAAACAGAAGATTACAGACAATATTTCATTAACTTACAAGGTTAAGATAATATAAAATTTTAGCTCACAAATTCCTAGACCGCTTATGTTTAAAATAGATATTTTTGATAACTTTGCCTCGTTTTCAGATCTCCGAATAAACTTTTAATTCACAGAATTATAAGTTTATCCACAATAAGATGACGTTGGCCACCTTAGTCTTTTTGTAATTGTGTAGTCTTTGGGTTCATAAAGGTCACTTACGTGATCATAAAAACATTAACAGTTTGGCTCCATCAGCCTTTCTCATGTTGGAAATAGAAAATTTTGTAGACTTTCCTGAAGGATATTTGAAAAAATTGACAAGAAGTACACTTTAACTAGCACCTTCCATTTTAACCTCCTCAAAGCATTCCCTTCACATACAGAGGCAGCAGGTTGTAAGCAAGACAACTGAGGCTGGACTCGCTGGTTGAGTCACTCACCAGGGCTTTGGCATTGGGGTTAGCTTTCTTATCCAAGAGAACCTTGGCGACTTTGTAATGGCCACAGTGGGCAGCCACGTGTAGGGCAGTCAGGTAGTCATTGGTGACATCGTCCACGGGCACATTATGCTGGAGGAGAAGCTGGACGCAGTTTAAGTGGTCCCCTTGTGTGGCCATGTGCAATGGAGACAATCCATTCTGGAACACATAAGGAAATCAGAGTTCATTTTTTTACCTTTTAAACACAAATGTGCAGAACACAAAATAAAGTGCAAAAATAAACAGATAAAAACTCCAGTTCTTCACATGAAAATACCTTCTATTTGTAAAAGCTTTTGACAACTATTTTGAACTACAGCTATTTTTAAAATTGGTCCTCCCAACTGCTTATGTCAGTCAATAACAAGTTGTCAAGGAAATGTCTTTTCCTAATTTAATAGAAGTGTGAATTGCAGCATGGGTCATAACCCAGATGAACGGAAATTTTACTTTTCTTTTTATTTTAAATAGAGATATGGTTTCACTCTGTTGCTCAGCTGGTCTCAAACTCCAGCCTGAAGTGATCCTCCTGCCTCAGCTTCCCAAAGCACTGGGATTATAGGTATGAGCCACTGGAACTTGGTCGAATAGGAATTCTTAATATTTAAGACTAAAAGAAAAAATAAAGGTAAGAACAGACTGGTATTCATTAGACTGGTATTAATTTTGTCCTTAGAGATTACTGATACCCAATATTGAAGACTACATTGATTTGACTTTTAAAAAGGTCCCAATGTAATGCATTTCATCTCACATCAAAGAAGAAAGGGAAACGTTTCCCTTTTCTATCAATCTGGTGCCCCCATGTGTCTATGATGAGGAAAGGCAGGGCATTGACAAAGTCAATAACTAATGCTCACCTTGTTAGTTTAAATCAACTGGGTTCAATAACTCAGTTATTATCATGTGCAGTAGGAATGAGTTGAAAATTCATTTAAAGAGCAGAGAGAACAAATATATGTGGCCAAAGGTAAATAAAACCTAGAATGACACCAGCATTCAATACGTTTCCTAATGAAGGCAAAACAAGGTATGAAGATGTCAATCCTTTCTTTTAACTATGATGGCAAAGTGGGGGAACCTGGGAAATTCCTAGAGAATTCAATTATCAAAAGAGGCTGTATCAATTATTGTAACATAGTTTAACATGTTTTTGGGAAAAGGAATTTGACAGCAAATTCAGTTTCTAAAAAAATTGTTGTCAATGAATTTTGACAATGACAGATCAAATATGCACCAAGGAACCAGAGGTTTCTGAATCCTCTGAGCCAAGTTATTTGCTCCGAATTTATCAATGAATGACATAAAGAAGGAATTCAGGATAAGAAAAAGTAATATGAGCTCCTCGTTAACCATTCCCGTGGCACTATTCACTCTCTGACATATATTTCAACGATTTGGGTTCCTTGAAGGCAAGAGGTACATGGTTATTATTTTTTCCATCGCACAGAAGAGAGCTTTGCACATACAGAAAGAGCTCAGCAAATATCTAGGTCAATTTAAAGGCCTCGTACACTATCAGTCTATCAGGATATTTCTGCCTAAAAAATTTCCCTCAAATATTTTAAACCATAGAAATGAAGGTGCAGGAAAAGGTAGGAACATTTCCCATTTGAGATACTGCTACCCACGAGCATATGGACTGCTTTATTCCTGCCAAAACATTCTTTTGCTTTATGTTTTGATACAGTCTTAGAGGAAAACATGAAGTAAACAAGCAAACAAACAAAAAAACCCCACAAAATCTGAGAGAACAAAGAATAGTGGAGAGTAGAAATGGGAGGCAGTGTCAATAAAAAAAAAAAAATTATCTAGCAATGCAAAGACACAATGATTGTGTGGATGGGAAACTTAAAGATAATTCGAGAAGGACAAGAAAACAGTAAAGAAAAGATCATCTGCCCTATGGAAAGAGGTTGTATTACATATGGTGCCTGAAAATACGGATCTAATGTAATGGGCTTTCTTAGCTCAGTAAGACGAAATTCTTGAAGAACCGGTCAGATGGCCTTAAGCCTAGGAATGTACTCATTCACTTAATAGTCATTCAACAAATATTTACTGAAGCCCTACTGTGTTCTGGGCACAAATACAGGTGCTTGTGGGTATTGCACTGAACACGGAAAAGCTCTTGCTTTCATTCTATTGAAGAGAAGCAGACAGCAAGCAAGTAAACAAGCATATAATTTCAAGATGGTGTTAAAAGCTCTAAAGAAAATAAAATATGGCCAGATGGCACTGGCAGGGGGTGGTGAAGATGGGAGGGGTAAATCATGAGAAAACGCCTGTTTATGAGGAAGACATTTGCGTTGAAGAATGTACGGGGACCACAGAGATCTGGAACAAGCTGAGGGAACTCAAACCAAGCAAACAGAAAATGAGAACAAAGGTGTAGTCTAGGAAGCAAAATAAGGCTGGTTAGCTGGAAGATGGTGAGGAAGGAGCAAAACGGGAGTAGATGAGGAAGAGAGGTGGTCAGAATATCTTAAGAAGTCTATCCTCAGTGCAGAGGGAGATTTCTGATCAAACACGGCAGATGTAATAGCTATATTTATCCTTCCTCTCCCAAAACTCCACCAAAAAGCAATAATAGATTTAAAGGGTGAAATCCAGAAGGGCACACATGTGCGTGTCCTTCTCCATTCCCACATATACAATGGGGAAGAAATCAAAAACAGATGAGGGTTGTCTCCAAACTTCAGAATATGAAAAGAGGATTTGAGTGTGGTCATTCATCCAGTCGAAGAGAGAGGCTGAAACCTAAGTGTCTGAAGCAGTAGAATCAGTGCTGTGCTGACAAATGTCTAACATCCGACTCCTGGAAAAAGAAAAGCCCCAGTGTGTAGCACTAGCCAATTTCCATGCTGTCAATCCCCCCACAACAACCAGTTTCAAGCCGTCTATCTGATGTTACTGAATGAGGAATTGGGAAGAGACGTACACAACCAGCTCATGAGCCAATACAATCAGGCTCCAGCACACTGCTGGGAATAAAAAGACAAGCTGATTTGCCTTTCAAATCCCCAAAAGGTGGAGGCTATGGAAGCGTAGTACCTCAGAAGATAAGATGAGACTTGGTGCTGCAAGTAAAATCGGATCGAAGACTGTGTATGGAGCTGTCAGGTCTCTGGGCCCTTCCCAACTCAGCAAAGCCAGATAACTGCCTCCTACTAGCCTGAAGGACACCAGAATTAGTGTCTGGAGAAGGTGAACTAGAGAGATTCAGACTCAAGGGCCCAGGCAGAACAGAGGCCAGTGATGAGGATTTGGACCGAGAATAGGTGATCACAGAAAAAGGAAGGAGAATGCAGGCGTTAAAGTTAGGCTGCTTGGGTTCAAATCCTTGTTCTGCCACTAACTGAGATATTTTGAGAAAGCTACTTTATCTCTTTGGGTTTCAGTTTCCTCATGTATTAAAAGGGAATAACAGTAATACCAGTATCTCACTTAATGACGATTAAATGAGTTAATACGTGTAAAGAACATAGAGCCTGACAAGCAGTAATCACTATGTAAATATTAGTTATCAATATTATGATTAAAGTATGCATAAAGCACAAGACTGGCAGCCTCTTTCCCCTACTCAGAATGTATTCACACAGGTGTGCACTGCAAGGGTTGGTGGATTTGTCTCTCAAAAAACTGTACCACCTATGGTAAAGGGAACATAATCCTGACATTAAAGAGCCCCTCTTAACCACTGCCACCTGATCAGCACTGCCTAAACTCTTTAGAGCTGCCACTCACGTGTTTGTGCCTGACACAGTCAGGTACAGCCATTGTGGGAAGCCTTCAATATAAAAGATAGAGCCAAAGCAAAAAAAAAAAAAAAAAAAAAAAAAAAAAAAAAAAAAAAAAGAGGAAAAAAAGGAAATCTGAGGAATTAGAGACATTCGGGAAACAGAAAAACTAAATCACAAGAAAGCTATCTCAAATGTTCTCAGAAACGTAACAGAAAATATTGTACCCATTAAACAAGAACAGGATACTTTAAGAAAAGAAGCTATCAGATAACAAGAAAATGTTCTTGAAAATTAAAAGGTTGGAAGAAAAAAATCAAGATTTCTCAGAAAAAATCCAAAGCAATGAGATGAACAGGAGAAAAAAGATGAGCAACTCTCTGATTTTTAACATTCTTCCTTATTGCTTGAGAAAATGAAAATCAATTTGAAAGAGAACAATGGGGATTAGTGGGAGGGTTTTTAAGCAGGAGGCTGACATGATTTGGATGACAGTTTGTATGGCCACTTTGACTGCAAAGTGGGAACTGATTTGTGAAGGAGCAAAAAGGGAAATGGGGGACCAACAGGAAGCTACTACAGTGGTTCAGTGAGAAACGATAACGTGGCTTAGAAGAGAGCAGTGGAGGAGGAAAGAAAATAGATACGGGATATGTAAAAGGAAAAGAACAAATAGAATCATCAAGATAAGAAACACTCAAAAGGCCAAGATGTCATCATATACAATGAAAACATCATGGACGTTTAATTCCATTAGACAACACCCTCAACAGCTCACCAGTCTAAACCCTACATTTTAAATGAGTGATAGAATTGTCCAGACCATCTCAACCCTGTCTAGTCTTCCTAATATTGTTGAGGAAACACTGGCCAGAGTGAAAATAGAAAAAATATGTGCTTTTGTTGCTTTGATAATGTTTAGAGATTAAAGCTCTTAGTAAAGCTTAGTATCATTTCCAAACAAATCACTGGTTTAATTAATAAAAATAGTAGTGACAATGAGGTGGTTTATATGTCTCAAAATTTATTTGCAAATATTCTTTTCTTCAAATGATGTCAAATGGTTTTACTATTTAAAAAAAAAAGTCTAAAAGAGAGTCAAACATTAATTTTTTTCAGGCAATCATCATGTGTTCCTTTCAGATATGTCAACATTCCCAAAAGCCCAATCAAGGTGCAATATTTCCAAAGTTTCCAGTCTTCATCAGCTAAGTGATATCCTCGACCTTCTTAATAGCCTGTGAACTCTCAAGAAATAAGCTGAGGGGCTAAACACAGCCAGCATCCATACTTTAGAGAGTGTAGAAATTTTAGTCTTTCTTAACCTGACAAGCAATTATTTCTGAGCTATGAAAATTTCACAGAGTAAAATCAAGCAGTAAGCATTCCTGAAACAAAACAGAAACCACACACACACACAAATGACTTTGTGGTGTAGCACATTCTACATAAAATTTTAATAAGCCCAAACTTATTTTGAGGTTCTGTAAAGATTTGGTGAACATAACTACTCTGATTCATTTTCTGTGTGATTCAAAAGGCTGGATCATATAACCATCAAAACAAATACAGTCCAATGTCCAGAAACCTGAAAAGAAATTACCTTGGTTTTTGAAAGAATGGGGGCAGCTCGATCAAGCAGCATTTCTACCACCTGCTCATGGCCACTCCTTGCTCCACAGTGCAGTGGTGTCAGACCATCCTGTTGAACAAAGGAAACATCACCAATTAAATCTGACAATAAATTCTATGAGTGCAGTGTACTTCTTCAATATCCAGCATGGCACCCAACATGCTGTGGACAAGTGGGCTTCAAACATTTGCTCATTTATTTCATAAAATACTTCCTTATTTTAGGTTGAAAACTACATTTTTTCATAAGTTTAAGTAACTGCAAAGTATGTAATTTCCCACAAGTCTGAATATCAACATTTAAATGTATAGCTTTTCCACTACTGTTTTGAATAGCCAATAAAATCTAAGTACTACAAGAAATTTGATGCTCACCATTAACAAAAACACATGAATAAACGCTTAAGTAGAAATCTGTAATAGAAATTCTACATTGGTTCTTTTTCCTCTTGAGTTTCTATTTCCATTCCATTTCCGCATACATAATTTTATCTTAATGTAATTTTATGCTTGAAGGTTTTTTATTGATTACCACATATTTCTCTGCCATAAAATTATATCAGTTTAAATTTAAGAAAGGTTTAAATATTTCCTGACAACACATGCCTCTAAGTATAAAAAATCAATCATCTGATTGGATTATTACTATAATTATTTGAATATAACCAATCAAAACAGCAAAAATATATAAAAAGTTTTGTGACCATTCCACAAAAACAATGTATTAAAAATTTCTCTTTTAATGGGATATGCTTTTTTCATGACTAGTTTATGTATCTGCTAATGAAGATTCGTTATTGCTAGAATGAGACAGGGTTCAGCATCAATATTAGTCCTGATTTTTGCTTTTGTAGATATTAGTGCTGAGAAACCTTGTTCGCATAGACTGTTGTAGTAGAGTTACAAATTCTTTTTTTTTTTTTTTTGAGACGGAGTCTCGCTCTATCACCCGGGCTGGAGTGCAGTGGCCGGATCTCAGCTCACTGCAAGTTCCTCCTGCTGGGTTTATGCCATTCTCCTGCCTCAATCTCCTGAGTAGCTGGGACTACAGGCCCCCGCCACCTCGTCCGGTTAGTTTTTTTTTGTTGTTGTTTTTGTTTTTTGTATTTTTTAGTAGAGACGGGGTTTCACCGTGTTAGCCAGGATTGTCTCCATCTCCTGACCTCGTGATCCACCCGTCTCGGCCTCCCAAAGTGCTGGGATTACAGGCTTGAGCCACTGCACCCGGCCTAGAGTTACAAATTCTCTGAATTCCATGTGACAAATTACTTAATGATCTTTTTTTGTCTTTCAAAATTTTTTAAAAAAATTTCTTCCAAAAGAAATAAATGGGATACATGTGCAGAACGTGTAGGTTTGTCACATAGGTACATGTGTGCCATGGTGGTTTGCTATACCTATTGACCCATCCTCTAAGTTCCTCCCCTCACCCCCCAGCCCCCAACAGGCCCTGGTGTGTGTTGTTCCCTTCTCTATGTCCAAGTGTTCTCATTGCTCAACTCCCACTTATGAGTGAGAACATGAGGTATTTGGTTTTATGTTCCCGTGTTAGTTTGCTGAGGATGATGGCTTCCAGCTTCATCCACGTCCCAGAGAAGGACATGATCTCATTCTTTTTTATGGCTGCATAGCATTCCACGATGTAAACGTACCACATTTTCTTTCTCCAATCAATTGTTGATGAGCATTTTGGTTGGTTTCATGTCTTTGCTATTGTAAATAGTGCTGCAATAAACATACGTGTGCATATGTCTTTATAGTAGAATGATTTATATTCCTTTGGGTATATACCCAGTAATGGGATTGCTGGGTCAAATGGTATTTCTGGTTCCAGATCTTTGAGGAATTGCCATACTGTGTTTCACAATGATTGAACTAATTTACATTCCCACCAACAGTGTAAAAGTGTTCCTATTTCTCCACAGCCTCCCCAGCATCTATTGTTTCCTGACATTTTAATAACTACCATTCTGTCTGGTGTGAGATGGTATCTCATTGTGGTTTTGATTTGCATTTCTCTGATGATCAGAGATGTTGAACTTTTTTTCATATGTTTCTTGGCTGCATAAATGTCTTCTTTTGAGAAGTGTCTGTTCATATCCTTTGTCCACTTTTTGATGAAGTTTTTTCTTGTAAATTTGTTTAAGTTCTTTGCAGATTCTGGATATTAGCCCTTTGACAAATGGGTAGATTGCAGAAATTTTCTCACATCCTGTAGGTTGCCTGTTCACTCTAATGATAGTTTCTTTTGCCGTGCAGAAGCTCTTCTGTTTAATTAGATCTCATTTGTCAATTTTGGCTTTTGTTGCAATTGTTTTTGGCATTTTTGTCATGAAATCTTTGCCCGTGCCTATGTGCTGAATGCTATTGCTTAGGTTTTCTTCTAGGGTTTTTATGGATTTGTGTTTTACGTTTAAGTCTTTAAACCACCTTAAGCTAATTTTTGTACTAGATGTAAGGAAGGGGTCCAATTTCAGTTTTCTGCATATGGCTAGCCAGTTTTCCCAGCACCATTTACTGAACTGGAGATCCTTTCCCCATTGCTTGTTTTTGTCAGGTTTGTTGAAGATCAGATGGTTGCAGATTTCTGAGGTCTCTGTTGTGCTCCATTGGTCTATATGTCTGTTTTGGTACCAGTACCAGGCTGTTTTGGTTACCGTAGCCTTGTAGCGTAGTTTGAAGTGAAGTAGCGTGTTCTTTTTGTCTTTTTGCTTAGGATTTTCTTGGCTATATGGGGTCTTCTTTGATTCCATATGAAATTTAAAATAGATTTTCTAATTCTGTGAAGAATGTCAATGGTAGTTTGATGGGAATAGCATTGAATCGATATATTACTTTGGGCAGTATGGCCATTTTCATGATATTAATTCCTCCTATCCATGAAGATGGAATGTTTCTTCATTTGTTTGCATCCTCTTCATTTGTTTGCATCCTCTCTTATATCCTTGAGCAGTGGTTTGTAGTTCTCCTTGCAGAGTTTCTTCACATCCCTTGTTAGTTGTATACTTATGTATTTTATTCTCTTTGCAGTGATTGTGAATGGGAGTTCATTCATGATTTGGCACTCATCAGTTTAAGGAGTTTTTGGGCTGAGATGGTGGAGTTTTCTAAATATAAAATCATGTCATCTGCAAACAGAGATAATTTGACTTCCTCTCTTCCTATTTGAGTATGCTTTATTTCTTTCTCTTGACTGATTGCTCTGGTCCGAACTTCCAATATTATGTTGAATAGGAGTGGTGAGACAGGGCATCCTTATCTTGTACCAGTTTTCAAAGGGAATGCTTCCAGCTTTTGCCCATTCAATATGGTATTAGTTGTGGGTTTGTCATAAATAGCTCTTATTCTTTTGTGATATGTTCCATCAATCCCTAGTTTGTTGAGAGTTTTTAACATGAAGGGATGTTGAATTTTATCAAAGGCCTTTTCTGCATCTATTGAGATAATCATGTGGTTTTTGTCTTTGGTTCTGTTTATGTGATGGATTATGTTTATTGATTTGCATAAGTTGAACCAGCCTTGCATCCCAGAGATGAAGCTGATTTCCTCGTGGCAGATACGTTTTTTGATGTGCTGGATTTGGTTTGCCAGTATTTTATTGAGGATTTTCTCATCAATGTTCATCAGGGATACTGGCCTGAAGTTTTCTTTTTTTGTTGTGTCTCTTCTTGGTTTTGGTATCAGGATGATGCTGGCTTCATAAAATGAGTTAGGGAGGAATCCTTCCTTTTTAATTGTTTGGAAGAGTTTCAGAAGGAATGGTACCAGCTCCTCTTTGTATTTCTGGTAGAATTCAGCTGTAAATCCATCTGGATCCTGGGCTTTTTTTTGGTTGGTAGGCTATTAATTACTGCCTCAATTTCAGAACTCGTTATTGTTCTATTCAGGGATTCTACATCTTCCTGGTTAATCTTGAGAGGGTGTATGTGTCCAGGAATTTACCCATTTTTTCTGATTTTCCAGTTTATTTCCATAAAACTGTTTATAGTATTCACTGATAGTAGTTTGTATTTCTGTGGGGTCAATGGTGATATCTCCTTTGTCATTTTTTATTGTCTATTTGAGTCTTCTCTCTTTTCTTCATTAGTTTAGCTAGCAGTCTATCTCTATTGTTCATTTTTTCAAAAAAAAAAAAAAAAAACCGTTCCTGGGTTCATTGATTTTTTGGAGTGCTTTTCATGTCTCTATCTCCTTTAACTCTTCTCTTAGTTATTTCTTGTCTTCTGCTAGCTTTTGGATTCATTTGTTCTTGCCTTTCTGGCTCTTTTAATTGTGATATTAGGGTGTCGATTTGAGATCTTTCAAGCTTTCTGATGTGGGCATTTAGTGCTATAAAATTCCCTCTTAGCACTGCTTTAGCTGTATCCGAGAGATTCGGGTACACTGTCTCTCTGTTCTCATTGGCTTCAAAGAACTTCTTGATTTCTGCCTTAATTTCATAATGTTTACCCAGGAGTCATTTAGGAGCTGGCTGTTCAATTTCCATGTAATTGTGTAGTTTTCAGTGAGTTTCTTAATCCTGAGTTCTAATTTCATTGCACTGTGGTCTGAGAGACTGTTTGTTATCATTTCAGTTCTTTTGCATTTGCCGAGGAGTGTTTTACTTCCAATCATATGATCGATTTTTGAGTAAGTGCCATGTGGCACTGAGAAGAATGTGTATTCTGTTGATTTGGGGTAGAAAGTTCTCTAGACATCTACTAAGTCCACTTTATCCAGAGCTGAATTCAAATCCTAACTATCCTTGTTAATTTTCTGTCTCATAGATCTGTCTAATACTGACAGTGGGGTGTTAAATTCTCCCACTATTATTGTGTGGGAGTCTAAGTCTCTTTATAGGTCTCAAAGAAAATGTTTTATGAATCTGGGTGATCTTTTATTGGGTGCATATATATTTAGAATAGTTAGCTCTTCTTTTGAATTGTTCCCTTTACCATTATGTAATACCCTTCTTTGTCTTTTTGGACCTTTGTTGATTTAAAGTCTGTTTTGTCAGAGACTAGGATTGCAACCCTTGCTACTTTTTTGCTTTCCATTTGCTTGGTAAGTATTCCTCCATCCCTTTATTTT